GGTCGCGGTTACACTTGCCTCTTACACTAAACAGCTACAGATTTGTTCATCAGCTGCTATAAAATTGCATGGGGAAAAGAAGAGGGAATTTATTAAATTATTTAAAGCACTCAGAAAGTAGATTTTGATACAGAAAAGCGAGTCAGAGGAATCAATGTTGGGGAGTCGTTACACAAAGCATTTGCATTTCAAAGTTTGTTCTGCACGAGCCCTATGAAAGGAGCCTAAAGTGTCTAGATAACCTTAACGAGATGGTAAAGTTAAGCTCCAAGCATCTTTCGACGACTATAGAGTGCGCGCAGATGAATGAGCCGTAAACGAAGTAAGAAAACAGGTTCTTGTTTGCATCCCAGTTTAAATTTCTCAACGCGAATAATAGGAATTGCTTTTGTACAGATTCCGACTTATCACTATACATTTGATAGTGCGCACTCCATACAACTGAGTCATATTACAAAATGGGCCTAACAAGTGAGGTAAAGGGTACTTTGGTAATGTATGGGTCCTTGAATTCCTTAGCCCAACGCTTCATGATATCTATTGCAGAAAAAGCAGAAAAGAGTCCATCCGCCAACGCGTGCAGCAGTTGGAGCTGTGACCAGCTGTGTCCGGTATATGGAAAATTTTCGCACAAGTTTTTTGATATGTTGACTTACAAATTCCAACTCCTGCAATAATTGAAACCGAACAATTGGACGTGCTGTGTGAATGGGCCCAAAACGATATGGCCTTCACTCCCAATTTTCCCACCAAAATTTTGTTTAGCAATGAAGCTCACTTTCGGCTAAAAAAAATTTGTCGAATTTAGAGTTATGATAATCCACAAGTCATTTTTGAGACACCATTACATCCTCAAAGACTCACCGTCTGGTGTGATATAGGGGGAGAGGGAATTATTAGTACATATTTCTACAAAAATGATGCCGTCCGTAATGTTACAGTCAATGAGTAACACTATATACCTAATGACTTTTGCGTGCCTGAATTGAAGGATATTAATGAGGCCAATACTTGGTTCCATATAACCAACGAGACCATCGGCTTATTGAAGGAAACTTTTGGTGAGCACATTATATCGAGTCGTGGACCTGTGAGTTATGTGAAGTCGTTTGTCTACGCAGCTAAAACCTAATCACTTTGGGCCTTGGAAAAGAAGATTCGGCGCGTTATTGCTGACATTCGGCTCCAATTACTGTAAAGAGTGGCGCGAAATTGTGCAGATCGACTGAAATTTATTCATGCCAGCACCTTCGTTCATTTGGCCGAAACCATTTTTAAAAAATAATAAAGCTACAATAAATTCTTGGCTATAACAGTAAATTATATGCGTTTAATTTTTTGTTGAAAACATCATGTCTGAAAATTTCCATCAGCTGATAAGTTATTAAAAGAACATACATACAGGATGCCCCAGCTATATATGCTCAATGGAAAATGGAAAATGGAACTTGAACCATTTTCAATGAGTTTTGATAACCTGTTTTTCATTATCAAATTTAAAGGCTTACAATCCTTTCCAGCTAGATGCGAAAAACAAAGTCCATCAAATGATCCACTTCATTGAGTAAACATAATTTTGCTATTTTTTCCGTATATGCGATTTCAGCTCGAAAGTCGTTCTTCAGCTCGTCCAAAGTCTTCGGTTTGTTGGCATATACTTTGCTTTGCAAAAAGCCCCACAAGAAAAACTCTGTAGCTGTCAAATCGGTCGTTCTTGGTGGCCAGTCGATATCCCCTTCCACACGTCCGGTGAACTTTTGCCGCAAGAATTTCATCGTTAACTCCGCTGTGTGAGTCTCCCGTGAGTGCCGAAATTCGAAGCCAAGCTTGTCACTTTTAGTCGCAGCACGGCCACGATACTTTTTCCGATGCGCACGCTGTGTTCCAACAACTAAACGATTGCACTCAAAGCACATTGCAACTATTTCCGCAAGTTCTCACGGAGAACGGTTGAAATTTGTCAGAGTATTCAATGCTTCCATTGACCACATATAGGCGGCGCACCCTGTATATTCTGAATGAATGAGAATAAGAAAATGTAAGCTGCAAATAAATCACAATAAGTACGGGCAGACGGTGCAGATTCCAAGATTAGATTTTTTGAATCTAACGTACGTAGAATACAATTATTAGATAACAAACATGTTTTGTTTTTGGGAGAAGTTATGCTTTATGTTAAATTTAACGATTTCTGTTTCTTATCAATCCGTCGCATATAACCCAATGATTGCGCGATGCCCCTGGGAAGTGTATTGGATATCAATTTGTTTTTGTGAATTGGCCAGCTACCACACAGTCCATGCCTCTGCAAATAATAGCAGGGTTGTCTTTTATATTTCGGGATCTGGGGAGGCATATGTGGCAAACAGGCACATTTTCATCGTAAATATTGACATTTTTGATGTTATACAAGCACAGAAAGCTTTTAAAAATGAGCGCCAATTACAGTAACCTAAATTTCCATCTCGACCAAAAATGGAATAAAATCGCCAATATTTTCTCGAGATTATTTATTACAACTTTCGACTTGGATTAACTCAGTAACAGTGCATCAATGAATTTCATACAATTTAAGGCGACCAAGTTTCATTAGGATCAGTGTTTATCGATGGTATGGCAAATTCAATCAAAGTCGCAGATCACTCCAATATGATTTTCAAGAAGGACATAAAAAATCAGTCGTTTTTCTAGAAATTAATGAGGTAACGCGCAAACTGATATTGCATGAATCGTGATGTAAACTATCGCGAGATTGAGACAACTACGAGTTTAGACATTAGTGGGATCAGCATACATTTAATACTGCACGAACTTTTCACTGTAAACAAATATATTTACGTTGGATTCTACATAATTTGCCAATCTCCCAAAAAAAAAGAGCAAGAGTCATTTGGTTCAAACGCATGCAAAAGTGCGTAGATCTGGGTGGAGAAGATTTTGAAAAAAAAAAAAAATAAAACGATTTTTGTTGTTTAATATTTGCATTTGTTCTCTAATCCCGAAAAATAAAGTGCAATTCTCGTATTAAATAATTTTTGCAGTAATACGACTAACAGAGAATGTCAGCCCTTCCGAGTGTATTTCTGTCATGAGATTAAAAAAACATCAGCCCTTAGAAGGTGGCTTAATATAAACTTTAAGTCCTTTCATTTGTTGGATTTTGAATGTTGAGAACCACACCAGAAATTGGAGGAGGAGCTCGGCCGAAAATCGCTTCAGCGGTTAAAAAGCGCCAATAATGACTATAATATAAAGGGTGATTTTTTGGCTATTATCTTTTTGGCAACACTGGTTGAAATAGCTGACGCACGTTTCGTGTTTTGTTTCCCTGTTAAACATCTTCAGTTTGGTCTATACTTCAGCCATGAATCGTCCAACAAACGAACAACGCAAGCAATTATTGAATTTTATTATCAAAATGCGTGCTTTGTTAAGAAAGTCCATGGCGTATTTTTTATCGAAAAATTGTGTTCAGGGACGAAGCTCATTTTTAACTTAATGGGTGCGTAAGTAAGCAGAAGTGCCGATTTTGGAGTAAAGATCAGCCAGAAGGTTTGCAAGAGATGCATCCAGACAAAGTCACAGTTTGGTGTATTTTATGGGCTGGTGGCATCATTGCAGCGCACTTCCTCAAAGATGATGCAAATCGTACCGTAACTGTGAATGGTGAGCGCTACCGTGAGATGATATCCAATTTTGTTTTCCCCAAAAAGCAAGAGCTTGACTTGTATGACATGTGGTTTCAACAAGACAGTGCCACATGCCACACAGCACGCGTAAGAATGTACTTATTGAGAGGCGAACTATTTGTTGTGGGGCTATATTTAATCCAATGTCTATACAGACAAGCCCGCTTCATTTGACGCTTTGGAGGACAACATTGAAGCATTTATTCTTGAGATAACGATCGAAATGTTAGAAAGAGTATGCCAAAATTGGACTAAGCGGATGGACCATTTGAGGCGCAGTCACGGCCAACATTTGCATAAAATAAATTTCAAACATTAAATAATATGGACCGTACTATGGATTCAAATAAAGATATCATGCATTTTTTTGAATTTTATGTGTTTTTTTTCTTGAAAAACTTTCCTAAAGCTCTTAAAAAATCACCCTTTATACTGCACCTGCGTTCATAACAAAAATGTTGTTTTTTTTTTATCAAAATACTACTGTTATGGATTTGAAGATTACAATAGATTTAGACATGATGACCTTGACGTAATTTTAACAATTAACAAGGTAGAAGAAATTTATCATTTAAGCAAGTCCCGAGAGTCTACAGCGCAGTAAATGAAAAGAAATTAATGGCGCAGAAAAAATGTCCCCTCAGGAATTCATAATGTTTCTCACATTCAGCAAAAAAAAATCTTAAACACAAGTGATGATGATTATTATTATCATTATTTTTTTTTTGACGCTGACTGTGGGGCATGTAAGTATATATGTATATGTGTGTATGCGCATGCTGAAATGCAAAAAAGATTAAAAAAAATTAATTGCAATATAAGCTTTCAACATAAGAACAGATATATTGGATTACAAACAAACACACTATACATATTTCTGCATATAATTACATGAATACATGGTTATATATATTTGTATAAATGTAGGTATATATGTTTGTCTGTATGCATGTATTGTACATTTATGATCTAAAATTTTGTGTTTTTTGAGTTTTTTTTTTTTTGGTATTTTATTGTGATAATTATTTCATTTTTATAACGTTACATTAAAAAAGCGATAATTTATTTTGTTGCATTTTTTTTTAAATTTTTTCATTTGATTATCACACATGAGTATGAGTACTTTATTTATATTCTACTTCCGATTGCAGGAATAATGATATACGAGTATACATATATGAGATACGTTACGCCGTTAAATAGTGAACAGTACTTAGAAATTTCACTGGACATATATATTCATATATGCATGTATGTATGTATTTAAGTATTTGCTCTACTACACAATGTTGACATGGCGATTCTACACAGCATGTTTGCAGTATAAGCGTGTGAGTTGCGGTGAAATGTTCGACCGGTTCGTGGCGAAAAATGTAATATATAAATAATCGTACTCGTACATGCAAATACGCTAAAAGAAAAGATAAGGTTTTAAGAAAATTTTCATAAAGAGTAAAAGGGCTCAATGGAAGGAGCTACGGCGAAGCGTACGTCGTGCAAAATGTGAAATAAAAATAAAATAAAAAGTCTCAACTGATTAATTTCAAAAATGTATTTTTGAAATAAAAACTATATTTTTTATATTTGAGTGTCATTAAGCTATTATATTAAATTAAAAAAAAAAAAAACCACTCACAACATGACAGCGCAAGTGAAAAGAGAGAAGGTACATATTAATAATAATAATGAAATAAATATTTTATTATAACAAAATGCAAAGTTGTATACAATCAAAATGAGAACATTTCCATTTTTGTGTTTAAAGAAAATTTGACAAAAAAATTAAAAAAACAATTCTATTAATTTTATCTAGAAATTTTGTGGATGTAATTACCTGAAAATAAATTATTCAAATTTAAAGGAAATACAATACGGTGAAAACAAGTTCAAACATATAGAAAAATAATAATTTTTTATTGCTTTCTTGCATGTTATCGTTTTCCGTAAATCAACTTTGTTATTTGCAAAATGTGATTTACTTCTAGTAAAAAGCTATTAAAAAACTTTAGTGAAACATTTAACAGTGGAACAAAGTATATATACAAATGATAATAATATAAGAGAACAAAAACAAAGTTCTTTCAAAAATATTCTTTTAAAATAATATGCTAAAAAATTAAGAAAACTTCGTTATCTTTAAAAATTGCGCTTAAAAAACCGTTTTTGGGCTTGCCAAAATTTTACTAAAAAGAAAAATTGTGATTTATTCAAAAATTATTTAAAAATCTTAGTGAATAACAAACGACTGTGAAAATTCTCAGTAAAAGTAAAACGTAAAAAAATATTATTACTTGGGTGTACATGGTAATTAAGTGCTTCGATAATATGTCGCAGCGACTAAAATATGGAATCAAATATCAGATGATTTTAATAAAAAAAGCTATTGCTAGATAAAAAACCAAAATATTCACCTAATCTTATTGCAATGTATTATTTTTTTACTAATACGAAAAAAAAATATATATAGATTCTTGTCAAACAATACTTGTATAACAAAAGTGTAGTCAGACATAAGTTCTAATCTTTTATCGACGCCGTTTGAAGGCTTGAAATAAATTTTACTATCTAGATTCTACGCACTCGTAAGCATATAACAACAACATCAATAACATATTAGCAGAACCACAATATTATCATCATAATATTGCCAGATAATGTTAACATAATATACAAGTTCGCGTGGCATCACACTACATCATGTCACATCATGGGACGTCACATCATATTATACCACGTCACATCGCGACACATCACTTCAGGTTCTATTATATCACATCACACAATGTAACATCGCATCAATTAATATCGCAATATTTGCCAACAAATCACATATCATGTTATGAAAACTGGTGTTCCTTCATTCGATGAGTCATTTTGCGACGTGATGTCATATGGTATGACGTGATGTGATGTGATATAACATGAGGAGGGAGGAGGAGGCAATGGCGAGACGCGCACAAGATCGTATGCGTAGCTATTATTATAAAAGCTTCCTTTTTTCCTCCTCATGTTATATCACATCACACCATGTGACATCACGTCGCAAAATGATACATCGATTCAAGGAACAGCAGCTTTCAAATAGCCTTCTTAACAAGCGAAACATAGAACTATGAAAACAAGATGAGCTGTCAGTTTATGATGCAGGATGTTATATAACCCAGCGGCATAGAAACATTTAGAAACATACATATCTATATATATCCCTTAAGTAGGTCGTGCTGAGAATCTTTTCCAGCTTTTACATAGACCTAAGCTGAGAGAAAATACATAATAAAGTTGTGAAATTCCAAATGAGCTTCACTACAAACAACTCGAAATTCGCCACAACAAATCGGACTCATGATTTCTTTAACTGTTGGTACAAACACTCGTAAGATACCTCGATGAGACAAGTTTCATATTTCTAGCTTTTACCCTTTCTGAATAAATCAAAATTTTCTCAAGATCAACTTAATTTTTTTCTCAGTAGTTTGTGAAGCGATTAATCTAAATGCTGGATATGACTTAAATGATAATAGTTGCTTATTGAAAATAAGTTGAGAGCTATATCCATATCGCATATAAGGTCGCTTGTGTGAAATAATATGGCCCATCAGTGTGGCTTTATACCATGTAAATCCACTGTTGACCAGATATTCACCATGCGCCAAAATCTTTGAAAAGACCCGCGACAAGAGAATCGACACACACCGCCTCTTCGTCGACTGGAGAGCGGCCTTTGACAGCACGAACAAGAGCTGCCTCTACTCCGCTATGTCTGGATTTGGTTTTCCCAAAAAAAAACTTTTACGGTTGCTTAAACGGTCGTTAAGTTATACCAAAAGCTCTATGAGGATCGGGATGGACGTCCCCAGCCGTTTCAGACGCCGTGATTCCTTTCTTTAATCTATTGCTGGAGGAAATAATACGAGCTGCACAGATTAGAGTATGAGCAATCTTCTATAAAAGTGTACACCGTTATTATTGGCATCAGTTGCATCACCAACAGAGCTGAGAGTTCTACATTCTCCAGACTGGATAAAGAGGCGAAGCAAATTGAAAAGGAAAATTCTCTCTCGAAAAAAACCAAACTCTACAAGTCGCTCATCATTTCCGTCCTGCTATACTCGTATGGTGCCAAGGCATGGAAGATGGTAACATGTTATAAGTTAGACGGGAGAGAAAAAGTTTTGTATAAGATTTATACCTCTCTGCTCATCAAATTCAGCAGAAGATGGAACGGTTATCACGATTATATATATAATTGGCGCTTTTTAACCGCTGAAGCGTTTTTCGGCCGAGCTCCTCCTCCAATTTGTGGTTTTGCCTCTTGAAGTTTTACCAATAAATGGAGGAACCTACAGATCATACTAAGCCGCCTCCGAACGGCTGACGGTTTTTTTATGAGGAGCCTTTATTTCATGTCAAAGATATACTCGGAGGGGTTGACATTCCCTGCCGAGAGGCGACCGAAATTAGAAAATTTAACTTAATTTTATATTTAATTTTAATTTTCTACACCGTTTTGGATGTTGTTCGCATGAGGATTTGAGCCCGGGTCTTCCGAGTGGCAGTGCGCAATGTTAACCACTCGGCTACCGTGGCCGCCATGGATGATAAGAATACTCCAGCTTTAAAGGTTTTCGATACAGCAAACGCCGATGGAAGCTGCTGTGCTTGGAGTTTCCATTTGGAACCAAAAAGTCAAAGGAAAGAATGAATGACATGCCATTGTTAAATCTGCTATAATTCCGTAAGAAACAAAATAAAAAGAGGAGGAAGAAGAGGAACAATAAGAAGAATAATAATAACAACACCAACAACAACAAATGGAGATGAAGTCAAATAAACGGAAAAGGTGACACTTTTTTCTGCCATTTTTTCCGTTAAAATAAATATAATTTAAAGTTTTTTCTTTAAGTTAGAAAAGAAAAAGCCAAAAAATTAAACAAAATAAATGCCGATTTATGCCATGCATACAACAAATGTGTGAAAGTATGTAAAATTTTCATGCATTTACCTAATATAGAAAATATATTTGTATTTACATGTATGTATATGTAAAAATCTACATGTAAATGTGCGCGTAAAGAATTTATCGTTCTAGGAAATAAAGTCTACACGGTCAATCACTAGCGGATGACTAAGTATGTACATACATACGTATCTTGAAATGTATGTATGTAGAAATTTTTCATGCTCATATAATTCTTAACGGTTCTGCACGCTTATCTTTATTGTACTTCGCAAGCGCAAGGCCTCAGATACTGAATGTAGCAAGCCAGATTATTTTAACATTCAGCATAAGTGCATTTAATAATTTTTTCGAGTTATAAAATCGAATTCGATTAGTATGATGGCAAGTGGTAGTTTGTCGTGTCCTCTTTCATTACCGGGATCACTTCGACTTATCCCACGATAATTGACTTATATTGTGGGGCGTTTTCGTAGATTGAGCGGATCCCACTCAGGTTCCCATCAGCAGACATGCACTCTGTTAAAGCGTCCAAAGATTTGAATAGCTCAACTGATAAGGCATCAACGGCCACTGCTTTGTTGTATTTAAAGTGTTTAATTGCTTTTCGGACTTCATCATAGTCGCGTAACGAAAACTCTTTTGCGTCGTCAGCAATTAGAGAGTCGGTAAGCTGAAATGAGAATGAAACGAAATGTGTGATTACTTTTAAATAAACAAGAGACGTGGATCTTGGTGCATATTAGATCTGAAGATTCTGTGGTATCCCTCAACACGTGTAGCAGAATATTTATGCAAAGAAATAGTTAATAAGATGTGGAGAGAAATTATTTAATTTTGTTTTGTATTATATGCACTTCTAAGCAAACTAACTGGCTGGCTGAGCGTACTAATATATTTTTAAAATTCTTTTTTTTCCACATTTTAGTCTGACCTGAATTGTGCCAATAAATCCACTCAATATGTGAAAAACTGTGGCAAAATGTTGAAACGTGATTTTCCCATATTGATACTTTCGCTCTTCATACTCTGTGGATTCTTTGCCTTCATGCAACATGCTTTTCGTGCCAGTGTTACCATAGAAGAGCAAGCCTTAACAAAAAATAGCATTAAGAGCGTAGAAGCAAATACCGTTGTATTACCGGCTGCTGAGGTCTTTTTCGGCGATGAACTATTCGAAAAAGAATTACAAAGTCGTCAATTAATCGAACCTAAAGACAGTCGTGAAGTGAAAGTATTTACTGAATCAACAAATAAAGTCAAAAATGAAACATTGGGACAACGTTTGAAGAAGTTGCTGAAATGTAATGATCGCCCCTTGAGGTTGGAGAAGATACAGTACGGCAGTTATTGGTTGTTGCGAAATTATATACGTGGCACGATTAGTACGTCAACAGGCTGTGCCGACACTGTGACACTGACAACAAATGGCGATTACACATTTTTCGATAGCTTGCCATTTTTAACGGAACGGTGAGTATTTTTTCCAAAGAAAATTCATAGTTAATATTATTAAAGAGTTCTGAACATTACCTAGAAATGTGAGAAAAAAATACGCTGGGGTTACTTATAAGCACCGACATTATGGTTGAAGTTTTTAGAGAAAACAGCTATGGAGATCGAAATAAGTTTTTTTGGAGAGCTCTCCTAATGGTAAAACTAGTTATGCTCATAATAAGTTACTGACCGTCATCTAAAATTTCGAGGATATTCGGATTCATTACATTAAGAATCCTTCGTCCGATGTTTCTGTTCTTTGTCTGAGCTTTTTATGTGAACAGAGAGAGATTTCGACGACACGGCATTCGGAGTCTATCGTTGTTGTTCGAACAATACTTAGGCCAGCGAGCTCATAGGTGAGTGTAAAAAAAATGCTTGGAAACTCCCTTCTGTCCTCCTGCAGACGGCTAACTGAAAAAGTATCAAAAAAGGGAATACGCTGATAGAGATTTTGAAGGAAATGTCATCGGTTCTTCAGGACTCGGCTCGGGTGTTTCAACAAGAAAGAGAGACCTGCGAAGGTGACTTCCGCTCCGGCACTCAGTGACCGTCGGGATCGAAGAAAATATTCAGAAAGTCGAAAAATTAGTACTGGTTGATCGCAGAATTAAATTGTGGCAGATAGAAGACGGATTACAGATTAGCAAAGTACGAGTTGGAGAGATTTGGTATGAACATTTGAATTTGAAAAAAGTTAGGCACATTGGACACTGCGAATGCTCACGCTGCTCGACAAGCTGCGACGATTGGAATGTTGTAATGAGAGTTGATATCTCAAAATGATTTGGATGAAATTTGCAATGGCATTTTAACAGTTGATGAAACTTGGATTCGTCAGTATGATTCCGAGTCCAAACAAGAGTCGTTACGTGGATGGATAAAAAAAAGAGGAAAGACTCCAAAACAATTCAAAGTGGTTAAGGTCGGTGTCGAAGATTAGGGCTACCATTTTTTGGCATAACAAGGGAATATTATTAAATGATTACTTGCCAAAGGAAACTACAATGAACGGCCAGCATAAAAGAGACGTGGCAAGTTAGCGCGCGGAGTGCTGTTCCTTCAGGACAACACAACCGTTCTGACCGCTCGAGTTGCGAGAGATACCTTAAAAGCTACTGGATTTTCAGAAACTGACCAGCCAATCTAAAGTCCGGATCGGGGTTCCAGTGCCTTTTTTTCAAATTAGAAAAAGGAGTTACAGGGATGAAGATTGTCAGAGGATAGTGAGAAGAAAGCGACATTTTGAAGAAAAATGGTATTTTTTCAATGGATAAAGGCATTGTATTCACGGTGTGAAAAGTTTAAGAGTATTTCCTTTGAGGTAGGCAATATTGATAAATAAAAAACATGAAAGTATACTTTAGGCCGAGAATTTATCAGCCAACTCTCGGAAGTTATCACAGACTGTAATTGGCTTTGGTCGGACCTTAATTAATCAGAGGCAGTTAGCAGGCAGTTCCTTGTGATATCGTAGTAATATAGCAATTGAGAGAGCTGTAGCAAATTTTTGACCGAGCTCCTCCTTCAATTTGTGGTGCTCGTCTTGAAGTTTTTCCCAAAAATGGAGGGACTCACAGTTATCTATGAAAAGCCGATGGATTCTATTATGAAGCCTTTTTTCACGTCAGAAATACACTCCCCCGGGTTAACATACGGTACTTGAGAAGAAAATATTTCGATGATTTCATCTACCCTATACATTTCCTTAAGCGAGGGGTGTTGGTTACATATTCAAAGAAGAACCAAGTCCTCCACGAATCACTATGGGTCAGAAGGACCTCATTATCCTGGTTCACAGAGTTGTTTTGCACCACAATTTCACAAATTATTATTAACTACGAATGTAATTCTGGGGGATGACTACTCATTGCGGCCACTCCCCATTGAGAAACAATCTGTCACACGGGAATATACAGTAAGGCGAGAGCTCTGGACATAAAGCTTCATCAACGAGATCTACTTTATTATTTCGCTCGCGAATGTAGCCACCCAGTACTGGAGAAGAATAACATAATATGTATGTAGAAAAAGAAAATCGGTGTATTCAATACATAGAGCTGAAGATGTGGCCTCCAGAAAACTTCCTGCTCAAAAAACTTAGCTTCTCTCAGCCTTTTATGAAGACTATTTTAATTTAGTTATTTTCTACAGATAATTCTACCCGACGAAAACTGTTAAGGAATAAATGATTTTTTCTTCGTAGATAACTCTACAAACCTTCTTGGACTATTTTTACTTATTTTGTTATGTAAGTTACGTGGCGATCGTCTCGCATCGGAAAGTTTTAAGAAAGTGCAAAAATTAATTTTAGTCTTTAATTATTATACAATACAATATGAAAAAACATTGATCTTCTCTTATATTCGCAGCTGGTTGGCGCCCATTAGCTTTGCCCTTTTTGCGCCGGGCTATGACTTCGAAGCCACACTGAATTCCATACAATTTGTTCGTAATTGTTTGCGTGAAAGTAAGTCCATAAGGGATTATGTGACATTTCACATTTACTTCCCCGCAACCGATATGCCCGAATATGCACCGATAACCGAAAAGGAGGCTATATCCTGGCCATATGACTGTGATGCGCAACCACCTTATGTGGATGTGGATAGGAGTACTATGTATAAGACGGAACACAACATGACGTACCCCATAAATGTTGGAAGAAATATAGCACGAAAATCCGCGAACACTTATTTCATATTTGCCTCAGACATTGAATTATATCCAACGCCAGAATTACCGCGCCTGTTTCTGGAACTTGTCGAACGGAATCGGAGTGTGTACCTAGATAACAAAGAGCTACGGTATATTAATCCCTCATAAACACATATAGTGAAATAGAACTCAAATATAAATTTTCTTTTTCAGTGTCTATACATTACCAGTCTTCGAAGTTACTAAGGATAGCCAAGTGCCAGAGAGTAAAACAGAACTTGTGGAGATGCTGCACAAACATAAGGCCATACCGTTTCATTCGAAAATCTGTAAAAATTGCCATTTGGTGCCGAGACATAATGAATGGGTAAATTCTACAGACGCGAATGAGCTGAGTTTGTTTTCGCAAACAAAACGCGAGGGAAAGTTCCGTTATTGGGAACCTTTCTACATAAGCGACAATCAAGAGCCCATGTTTGATGAACGCGTCACGTGGGAGGGTCAATCGAATAAGCGTATACAGGTTAGTAGTTTGGGTTCAATGAACTTAAATTCTTCAGAAATTATGTTTTGAGTACGACCCCAATAGCTGTGTGGTTGGTGGTTCATACTATTATGCGGAAGATGCAGGATTTGAGATATGACCCGACTGAAAACAAAAATTTAATTATTGTAATGAAAACCTTAAGTTATTGTCTCTAATCACGGTCGCCCCTCAGTGGGAAATGTTAACTCCTCTGAGCAGGTTTGTGAGTTGAAACTATTCTTAAACAATCCGTCAAACCGTTCGGAGGCGAATATAGGTAACTTCAGTTGGTAAAAAACATTCAGACGCGCAACATAAAAAAAAAATAAAAAATTTAACCACACTCCTCCTTGGAGTAGTTTGATTTTTTGGTCAGCTTTTTTGTCATGTCAGACATTCACACGAAGGTATTGCCACTTTTTGCTGACGAGCGGCTGCATTGACAAAAAAACTTTCTCTTAAATATTGGTTTGGCTTGGGCTCCACTTATAATCCAACTTTGCTCTTTCACAGAATTATTCCGGGGAGGTAATTTTGTACCAATCACCCTCTACAAATGGTGTCTGTATAGTACATTTGTACATAGCAATAGCTGGGACCTGACGGTTATGTACTAACGCAATTTGAAAAATTATACTCACTTCGCGTAGTAGAGTCTGAGTGACTTTGTTCTTGAAGGATGGTAGAAACTCTCATTTATCTTGTTTGGAATAGCCCCACTACTTTTGAATATGGACATTGGTCTTCATATAGCGAAGCCTTAAGGTCCATAGAATATGCTCCAGAACTCTCTCAGTAAGGCTTAGAGTAACTGTGTTACTGCACGGTTCGGGTATTGAATATGTGAGACTTATAATGGGCCTTGAATCTGATCGCAATATTGGCTTTGGTTTTGAGCGTTCCGACCATATATCTTTCGCCTCATATCTTACAGTTTATCAATATGGTCCAAATGGTATACACAAAGATAGATTCAAAATCTAGCACGCCACATGGTTTTTATGACTATAGCAACTCCAGCTAGCCATCTACCCCTTTTTCTTTATTGATGTAGGTTCCCGGGTATCGAGCACTGTGAGCAGATCGATACTCTTTCGTTGCTCAACTTTTAGACTTTGTATAAATAAAATTAAAATTATAAAATAAATTTCTGGTAAACAAGTAAAATGTTTTATTCAGAATGTTACAAAAAACTCGAATCATTAGAGCAATGAGCACTGAACGAGTGTGCGAGTACTCGTTGCTCAATAAGAAAATGTTCGAACAAAATCTTGAGCTCTTGTAGGTAGTGCTTACGCCATTATAGCCGAATGTAAAATAGTATGCTGTTCCTTTTTTTCGTTGTTCCTTCTTAAAATAAGAAATACAAAGTGGCACTGTCCACGCGATCACTTTAACAAAGTAGAGGTCCTCCTCTGATTCCACCAGCAGGTACTGCATCGAATACTTTCAAAGCCGGATTGTTCTTATCCAACTGTACCACAATATCTAACCAGCACAGCACTGTATCTAGAGTCATTGGACTGTGCCATGGTTGCGGTATAACTCGTACAGGTCATCATTCTATCGACTCTGGTATTCTTTACCTTACGCAAAACTTCTCTCTCGAAGACTTTCAGGGGTGTCTCAACAGATATCGATATCGTCCATACTTCAGCACCATCTAGCAGGGCGGAAACATTGGGGAGCTTGTTGAGCTTGATTTTTGTTCATCGAAAGAAAACCTGCATTCTCAAATGTCTACTCAGTTCAACGTGGCACCTGTATTTCAAGGCTGAAATTGTTATTGGTTCCTAGATATATGAAATTATCAACGGCCTCAAAGTTATAACTTGGGAGCCAAGATGCGTGTGCGCAAATTATTGGTTTTATGACAAAAAAAACTCTTATTTTCTCATAAATTTAAATTTCATCACTCTATTTCTTTCTCTTTTTTCAGGGCTACGCTATGTGCCTGATGAAATATGATTACTTTGTATTGCATCCGGCCTTTTTGACGCATACACCAGGCATTAAATATTTTGATAAAAATGCCACACGACTCAGCTATGTGCCGGCCATGAATAACCTTATTAAAACAGTTATACAACCTGAATATCATATTTTATATGGAAAGAAGAATAAGAAATGCTTCACGTGATATTGGTACATATAAGATATATATATACATATATAATATTCGCTTTGTAACCGCTAAGGCGTTTTTCGGCAGAGCTCTTCCTCCAATTTGTGGTCTTGCGTATTGATTTTTTCCCACAAATTTATAGATATATATATAAATATATATCATATATATATATACAAATATTTACGAAACGATTATTTGTAAATAGAGGCAATTTTAATGAGATATTATTAATTAAGTTAATTTATTATAAAAAACTGCACTTCTTAAAAATGTAGCCCAATATGAAAGATAATTAAAAATGAGTTATTATTTAAAAAAAATTATTATAAATTAGATAAGCGGAAGTAGAATCGAATGGATAATTATAATTATAATATATATTTAATAAAAAATTTATCAAAATACTCGAAAAGGTGTTTTAAGTAAATTTTTGGTCAAGTCAAAAAAATTGTGGCAGTGACGAAGCCTAAAGACTAATATTCATTTGAGTAAATAAGAAAATATCGTTTTTGCAAAACATTTAAGTGATTGGAAAATAAGAAAATTATCGTAAAATATTAGAATAAGATTTTTATAAAATTCCAAATATTTGTACTTTTAATTACGGCTTTCTCTGTCCTGCAAACCATTTATAGCATGTTCCACAAAAATATTGAATACGTTAAACGCTAAGTTTTAATATTCCCATAAAATTGGGAAATATGTTGCTTTGAAATCGATTTTGAATACAATCCACATACGTTCCACATGTAACAACTACTACAACATTTCAATGCCCGTGAATTATATATAATCAGAAAATTCAAAAATCGGAAGCTTTAAGGTTCGCATTGTCGTGGGGAAGACTAATCCGACTTCGGTGGTTGGATTTCCTGACCTTTTTAAATACAACTGGCAAAAGAGTATTTCGGTACTACTCAGAATTCACTGTTCTACCTTCCTCTACGTAAGTAGGGTTGCAACATATCCAGTTCTTCCGAAAAATTCGGCAGCCGTTTGCTTGGAAACTCTTCGTGCGCGAACAATTTTTGTTGCATTCGGCTGTTACTTAAGGGGCACACCTAGTGTGAAATTTCAAAAATATCTATCCTTTTTCATATTTCTGTAGATTCTACCTTTAAAAATCGATATCTCAAATAGTTTTTGAGTAATAGCAATTTAAAAAGCAGCTGCTCGGCTGCTAGAGAGTCTCTTTAGCTACGAGTGAAAACGATCATTTTGTCTTTAAACGCGTTTTTCTGGAAACAGCATTTTCCGAATTTACTGCAGTGATTACTCAAAAACAAATAATCCGATCACTATCAAATTTTTTTGACATGTTCTATGTATAGTTACCCTATCGATTTTTGATCTGATCAAAAAATCGAATTTTTGCAGGCCAAAAACGACCAAAATTTTGGGTAAAATTCGACTAGTTTTTTAAAACGCCGCCTATTGCCAATTTTGGTTTTTTTTATCGTATATCATTGTAGAGACAATATTGTCTAGTAGAGAATTTTTTTTTTAAATTTCATCCATGGAGAAGGCGAGAATCACTGCAGCAGTGGAGGACCTTTATTTCGCGCCGTTGGAGATCGACTATAACTTAAAAAATATTTAATTTTTTCTTCAAAAATTTCACTGTATAATCTTGAAACATGCATAAATATATTCTTAAAATTTTGAAATAATTGATAAAGTTTGTTTTTTAATAAAGATTTCCAAAAATCACCTTTTTTAGGCCACTAGGTGTGTAGGTGTGTGTAGGACACTAGGTGTGACTGCTGTTTACTTTCGGGTCCATATACAGAAGTCCACGATTTATTTCCGACACGCGACTTTTTTATCGATACGCGACCTTTTTGGAGCGATTTAAAAATTATGTAGAATTCAAACTGTATAAAATGTATGTTGGTCCTAGTAATGCTTATACTCGTAGTGGTCTCAATCTCATGATAGATCACAAAACGATTTTGCAATATCAGTTTACGCACAGCATCAGCATAGTTTCCAGAATAACAAATGATTTCGGCCCAACTTACGAAATTCATTCATCGGTGAAGATGAATATTTTAAATTACTTTAAAAAACACATATAGTGCTCGTTCTAAGTATAATCTCCCACCCATCTCGCGGGTAACAAAACTTACAGGGTCGCAGTCAGCATCGAATACGAAGAGGTAACAAAATTTTGGTTAGGTTAGGTTGCGGTGGCTACCGATCTATCAGACCGGATTTACTTAGGCCTGACTAAGAGCCATTGTGATACCATGAGGCTTCATGCTCCATCCATTTTCATTCTCTATTGAATCCCATTAGATCCATAGCTTTGGCGTCAGCTATTTTCGATAGACCATCTAGCTACTGCTCAAAATTACGAAACCTCGCCCTGCTCAAAGCCGGGCAGTCACATAAGAGATGGGTGATCGAATCCTCCTCTTCATCCTCATTACAGCTTCTATAGAGAGCCCCTAGTCTTTCTGCGTGGGGTCCTATCGAACAGTGGCCTGTTAGAATTCCTATAGATTTAGACATGTCACCTCTTTTTAAGGAGTACATATCTAGTGATCTCTTCTTATCCCATTTCAGGCATGTTTCCCTGGTTTTGTGGCAGTTTTTAATATCATTCCACCTTGTAGTGAATTCCTTGGGAAGCAGTTTGCATGTAGCAAAAGCCCTGTGACCATCGGCCCAAGTGAGAGACAGTCTATTCTCTTTGGCCATATTCTGTAGAGATCCTCGAAACTTCAGCACTAATTTGGAGATTAGCGTAAGCGAGACCATTGCTTTTATTTCGCTGAACTCAAGATATTTTTATCTATAAAGCTGACTCCAATTCACTTTGCAGCCTCCATCATAGCAGATATCCACGCCTGGAAAACACTGTAATAGTCAGGTGGCCTCAACGAGTCCTTGTATATTTCCAGGCTATCATTTTGAGTATTGTAATTATCTGCCCATTCTTCCCTGCTGGGAGTGGTTAGCAGTTACTACTATTGGACCAAATCTATCCGTATAACTTGGTATGAAATCGTATTTACCATAGACCATTGATTTGACTCTCTCAGACGAAGTGCAGCCATCATTGCTGCTGACTGATGAACCACCAAATCCAGTGGCAAAATATTGAATATCACATTTAGAGCCTCACTTGGTGCTTCTAAGTGCAACACTTTTTTGTACTTTTTTGAATCTTATCTAAGAATTTAGCATTTGAAGCTTTATTTATAGCTGTCCATCTCACGATCGCACCGTAAAGGAGAATTGACATTAATACTGAGACGTAGAACCATCGGCAAATCCTGTGGGTTGGACCCCATTCCTAATCCTATTGCTCTTTTGCATATATAGAGGACCGTATGAGTCTTTTAACGAAATTTACTGAATGATAAATTTTAATCCCAAAGTAAATTCGACTACCTCGATAGATTAGGCCTGCAACTGTGGTGAATTTCGTAAAAAAAATAAATAAATAATAAAACAGTGCATTATATGCCACTTTCATAATTATTTTTATTTATATGCTCTTAAAAGTTTAATATAATATGTATTTTACAATTACGAGTGACATGATATGTGGTGAAAGCCTCCATTTACATCTCTTCACATAAGCAAGCACCATTCCTTTGCAACTCGAAAAGAACAATAGATACGTGTACTCCATTGGGAATTAGTAATGAATAAAAATAAATAGTTAGTGGCTTACATACAAATTTACAATATTCTAAAATAATTCACCAAAAAATCTTAAAATGCACAATTATTATAAAATACTTGCTAATGAAAATCAGATTGTATAACTTGTGAAAATAATATTCAAATTTAGCTATTTATTTCATAATTTATGAAAATTCTAAGAACTGAAAAAATATCCTTCTTTAGTAAGCGCAAGGCTGTTTATTTGTGAAGGTGAAAAACTTAACCGACTGATGGCGTTCTTTATCTTCTGAGCTATCTCCTACATTATCTTCTCACGTCGTCTCATCATCTCACCACTTACGCTGAATCATTGTGCTTTTCTGTCTCCCAACCGCTACCTCCGACCATTGCCAATTGCCAAACTCAGCATTTAACACATTCCGTTGCGCTTCGTATGTCTTATATGGTTGAACTTTAAATTGTCGCTGTTGTTTTTTCTTAATTTGTTTATTCGGTAAAAGTGGCGCGTTATGATGCCTTCCATAATTTGCTGGCAAAACAGCAATCACTGGCATTCGTTCGGTTTGACGCATTTTCTGTGCATCAATTTCACCGCTACGTGGTGTGACCAGCACACGTATATTTCGTACAACACCATATCCTTGTGGTTGTTGGTTATAATTAGGTGACTGTAGCGGATGAAAAGGATCTTCGCCATAGAGTTTGCGATAGCGTTCACTGTGTATGAGTTCAATGATTTGAAAGAGTGCAACACTCGCAGTCCAATTGTAGGCGAGGTACACTTTATGGTGGTGAATGCAGAGATAAAGCAAGTTTAGGTTAATTTAATTATTTTAAATTTACAGGGTTATTCATTTTGCGGTTTCGAAAATAAATTTAAGCAAAATGCTTTCAAAGAAAATTTTTTCATGAAATTCCCTTCTTATTATAACATTTGAATCTTGGCTTTATACTTTTTTAAGCTCCACATCATTCAAACAACCGTCTCCTGAATTTTTGCAAACTTCGATCTCTTTGAGGCAACTTTCGACCACTTTTTGGCATTAAATCAACATTTTTGTAATTGTTTTAAAAATTTCAAAGCATTGTGCGGCTTTTAAGCGATCCATTTCCATAAATGTCTGACGTTTGACAACAACAGAAAATCTCTGTTTTGATAGTTAAGTTTGAAAGATGTCAAAAAAAAGCGCTGCACTTTGGAAGCCACAAAATGTACAACCATATTCATAAAATATTTAACATCACTTACATATTACAAAGCCACCGACTAAAGTAACCGCGATCAGTAGTCCCAAGCTGAGCTTCTTTTTAAGAATTATCATGAGTATGATGTGCATTGCAAAGCTTATGACTACTCGAAAGAATTCGCCAATAATGAAGGGCAATAGTAGCCATTTCTTGAGCTGAAAAAAGTGGGAAAAAGTGGAAAATGAATAGTCAGCGAAGCAAAATTCAACTTACCTTTAAGGCACCAACAATTGCCAATACACAACAAACCATATGAAATACCGTACCGGTGACAAAGCATGCGATGTAACCTTGTGAATCTGTGTGGAAATATATGTAAAATAAATTTTAAATTAACTACGAATCAATTTCGTTAGGGACAGAGTGCAAGACAGTCCTGTTGTATGTACCTGTTATGGGTAGATAAGTAGGCAAGTAGGAGAGCAGACAATGAACACTAGATGTGCCATTTTGAGGGATTGTCGTAAATCTTTAATATTCTACGTTTGGTACCTTATGGGCTACAAGTACGCTATTGTAAAGACAATTCTGAGAGAGAGTAAATGGAAAAATGTTGCCTTTTTCCAATTCTGTGTTGTAATTGCAAAAATATTCCCCAAAGTACTTTTCGGTGAATGTTGCGGGCGTGACAGTCCATGGCCGAATAAAAATCCGGGTCGTTCCGGTATAAAGACCCTACTGTCGCGGACACAATTGGATTTTAGACGCCTCTTACGACAGGCATGCCTTACCGCGGGTGAATTCATGAACCCCTACTCTCCATTTAATGATGGCACCTGCTTATCAACCTATGTACGAGACGACCTCTCCAAATGGGCTTGAGTTGAGTTGAGTTTATGTGGCTGCTACTACCAGGCTATCTCAGTGAGACAGTCGAAGGAATGTTTCCCAATGAACCTTGTGTCGGACTGATGTCAAGATGATGTCAGTGGCAGAGGTAGTGCTCGATGGTCTTCTCTTCTTCTTCATTTCCATTATTTTATTATTATTATATTAAACAGTGTCAAGTTATTATGCCCATTATTAAGCTAATGGATATCCGGCCTAGAAGGATAAGATGTTTTGATTTTTTCCATTCCAGCTTCGGCCATAGCGGTTAGGTCACGTTGCACGTGATCTCGTTCAACCATCTAGAGTCAGCTTCTCTGGTGAAAGTCAGTTTAAGTACGTAATTGGCCGTGGACAAAGGTTAACTAGCATCTAGGTAGAAGGATTCCTTCCCTTGCTAGTTCGTCCACTATGCAGTTGCCAGGGATGTCTCTGTGTCCAAGTACCCAGTCAACAGCAATATTTATTAGAGAGTTTGTTGAGAAAGTTTCTACATTTTATGGACACTTTTGACGTGCTGCCATTACATTGGAGAGATCTGATTGCAGCTTGTAACCGATTGTCCTGCTGTCGTAGATTTATGCAACCAATCAGCGGCCTCCACGATTGCAAAGAGTTCCTCCTTATAGTTTCCCTTATAGGTCCAGGGGAAGGATGTTGAGAAGAGTTAACAGAGCTTACGAGGGAGTTGATGGCAGTGGTCCTTTTACCAGGATAGCAGCCGATCGGTGAACTCTCTAGTTTGCTAATGAAAGTAATTTTATCGAGCGCCGGCCACCAAACGGTGACGCTCCAGAAGAGGATTGGTCTAACTTCTGATGTATAAATTCAGTACAAAGTACCTGGTCTTAGACCCCACCTTTTTTCTATCGCCGTTTTGCAGGCAAAAAGTGCAGTTATAGCTTTCCCTGACCTTTCTAACCCAGTTAAGCTTGCTATTTAATATTATCCCGAGATAGCTTACCTCGGTAGAGAGGGTGAGCTTCACGCCCTTTAGTTTAGGTGGCTTTGTGCGTTCTGATAAAGGTAACCCTTTGGGTTTTATCTGGGTTATTTCTAGCAATGTAAATCGCTGTTAGGACAAAGTCATCAGCATCAGTATGGGGTTAGGCTGATCGTATTTTTCGGAGTCCAAAATATGGAGGAATAGTGGCTGTAATGCTAGATTCCAGCATAATGGCTGTAATGCTAGATTCCAGCATAACAACTTCATTAAATTATTTGCTGTTACCCGATAGAATACTAAGCCTCTCTCCTGTGACAAATTGAAATTAAGTGCGACTTAATCATCTTGAAATCAGTTTCCGCAATATGAGCTTAGAACTGATCTCTCCCAACAAACACAGTTATTCACCTTGAGCCGATATCTGGAGAAGATTCCGGAAGAAAAATCGCTTCGAGAGGAGAAGAATGCCGTGAGAAGAGAAAAGGAATTTCAAGGTCACAGAGTTACCACAATCGCGGCAATATAATCAGTCTCATTACTCAATTGTAACACTTCGTAGCACAAAAAAACAGTTAGGTACGAATAGGCTGAATAAACAAGGAAGCTCAATCTATGGTTGTCACATGAAACGTAACAAAATCGGTCCATCTCTGAAGCCGATGGTGACTGGTAATGAAAAGTGGATCACTTACAGCAGCGTCAAAGTGAAACCATTATGCTGAGTTAACAAAAATGGGCACTCCCTAAGCTCCGAGAGATTGATTGGAAGGGTCCTATGCATCCATTTTACAGTCCAGACCTCGCACCAAGTGATTACCACTGATTTGGCTGGCTGAAGAATTAACCTTAAAAGATGTCTTTGAGAAATCGATTGCATTAAACGTTTGTCAAACGGAACATGAGTATCTATGAGAGAGGCATAATATTTATTACGTTCGAATCGGCAAAAAGTTTTCGGGAAAATCGGTGCATATTTGAAATAATAATGGTAAATAAAGCCTTCAATTCAAATGCAAAAATAATGGATTACTTTTCACTAAAACAATACGGTTGGAGGAACTTCCACAAAGTTAGTCGTACGTTTCAATTTTTGATGTAAATAATTTTTCTTCTCTCACAAGTGCACGTTCAAGCGGGTAGCTTTTAGCGAATGCCAACTCTGTCGCTTAACTATTGTCCCTCGTATGGTCACGTCTGTTCACATTAAGAAACAAAACTTATATAAAACACTTACGATTCTCAATCGAATTTAGAAGTTTTACTACAACAATATTCTTGCCATATTCTTCATCGTTTTTGAAAAGTTTTAATATTGGTTCAAGAAATTCCATGCCCATGGATAGTATCAAGACGGTCGGTATGAATACTTGAAGCTGCCAAAAGAAAATATTTTAAATACATATAACACACAACCACTGATATATGAATTAATTATTCCATTGTGTTTGTACTTTACTCACAAAACTTAAAACGGCCACAACAATCATACCCAAACGCACAGAACAATAGAATAAATATGTTTCCATCCATAGCATGACGAAATATTGGAAAAAGTTTTGCGGAAGAAAAATTAATTTTATTAAGTTATATAGATATGTTTCTTTCTAAACATTTTAGAAATATATTTTTTATTTATTTTCAATTTAATTTTTATTTATTTATTTCGTTTAATTATATATTTTTATAATTTTTTATTTATTTTTGCTTAATCCTTCACAGTTATTTGACTATCACGCGCTTTCTAACGTCATTCAACTATTTATTTGCAGGAGCGCAGTTTTCCTTCAGCGTGATTGTTTCATATAAAAATATAAAAAGCGGGTAATCATTTCTCTCTTTATTGTTTAATTGACTGAATGAATGACGGTAAATGCATAATATATGTCGCTTGCGTTAGATAAAGATCTCTTGGTATATTCGGTTGACCATTGAGAAAGACATGAAATATTCATTTGGCCACAATATGTTTGTGTGTGTGTTTTTGTGTTTGTTTATGTAAAATATTTTTTTTGTAAATAAAAACTACAGAATATTATAGAATTATTTTATATATTTATTTACATAATTTTCTTATATTATTTTGTATATATATAATTTACCCACTAATACTATAAAGTACTTTCGGCATTTGATTTTGCAAATAAAAGGATATATTAAATACTGTATTTACATATGTTTGTTTATATTTACACCATAGTCAAATGAACCTGTTAAAAGTTATTTCAATAGTAGTTGGTCAAGCGAGTTCAGCTAGTCAACCAGCAGAGAATTTTTCTAATGGAAGCAACTGGTAATATCAACGCAGAGAAAGACCGACGAGTTGACATTTGGCAGGTTGTGGCCAGCAAATATACAAGTATATGAATTAAATTGAGGATTGGGATGAAGGCAAGAACCTGTTTTTCTTGTGGCGTAGATAAGGCTTATGCTTAACAACAGCACCTTTACCTTTCGCCGCCAATTGCATACAGCGAAGGAATTCATATTTTCACCGAACTGGAGAAGGCCTTCCTCTTATTCTGCTCCCACTGGCGGAAATATGAAAATTAGCGTTTCGTGATCACTTATGGAGGAACTTTAAATTGATGCCAGTAATACACTCTGAGTGGGGTCTAGTTTTTCTTCTAGATATAAAGTTACAGTCGCTGAGCTATACTCACTTTCTACCCTTGAATTCCCATAGCGTACTCGGGAAACGTGGGCAAAATGCACTGAGTTTGTTACCTGACAATGAGAAACCAGATCCAATAAAACAAATACAAGAGCATCGGACGAGATATCTCTGTTTTCATTAAGATCGCTGATTTGCGTCCAAGTCTCGACGTAAAAGAGGACTTTGTGACCAATACCATCTTTTATGAGCACATGAAGGTTAATTATGAACGTTGCCTCCGCTTGGTGACTTTAACGTCAGGATAGACAAAGAAGGTATTTTTCGCACAACAGTCGAAAAATTCATCATCCACAACGATACATTTACTAATAGGTTGACATCGATTGACTTCTCCATGCTCGAAGTATGGTTGCCTTTAGTGCTAGCCTCCAGCATAAGTAGCTTCATAAAGCTGATTGGTTGTCTCCAGTTCGAAAAACATCAGATCAATCATGATGTAATCGGCGGATGACATGTCTCCAGTATTCTTGACGTGCATACGCTCCAATGACCCAGCATCGACCCAAATCAATATCTTTAGATCGAAAGAGCACATTATTGCATTGTTGAAAGGGTGATATCGCGGTTTGATCACTATGCTGAAGTGGTTCTTAGCATATGCTTGGACAGGCTTTGTGACTTCACAGTAACAACAGCCAACGTGTCGTAGAAACCAAGACCTGAGTAAGTTGATTGTTTATTTGATGACAGGAGATATTTCGTCTTGTCTTCGTTCACTTCCATATCCAATTGCCTCTCTTCTTTGTCCAGTTAGGGGAAATCAGCATTAAAAACGCGGTTTTTGAGGACAATGTCAACGTCATCCGCATAATCAGCAGTTGTAAGCTCTTATAGAAGATTGTATCTTCATTGTTTGGCTCTGCAGCCCGTATTGTTGATTCTTTTGTGTCGATTTCTTTTTTTTTTGTATTTCCAAATATTTCGTGCATTGCGAGTATTTTGTGAATATATGAAGCTTAGTCTCCAATCGTCAGGTTTGCACGTGTTCCACTGAACTTTGGAAAAAAGCTGGTAGTACAACTAGTAGACTGCTGACAACTGACATCGAGTGTCAAATTAACTATGCATACACATGCTCCTGCACACATAGCCGGAATACTGGGAGAAATCATGAGTCTGTATTCCAAAAAATACGACTTACATATATTGCCTAAATGTATACATTTGCATATGTGTGTTACAGTGCACATTACTTTGCAATAATTATAAGAAAGCTCAACAATGTTGTCATAAAAGCTTAAAAAGCTTGAACTTCAACTTCACAGTGTGTAAACTTAATCGCTAACAGTTTGAAAGGCAATGTATGCAAATTTTGAACTTTTCTTCTGATGTTTAATTTATAGAAATCGTTTAATAACAAAGTGCCAACTGAGAGGCATACTTTTGAAATATATATAAAAGTATTAGAAAATCTCAGGAACTAGAACAAAAAAATATATTTGAATATGTATTTTAAAATCTGTATATCCATGTATCTATCTCCATCTTGTGTGCGTTTGCAAAGATCCGCAAATTTCCAAAAGTACCGACCGGTTGGTTCCTGGAAAGACTTATACAATTTTTTTTTTTGGAAAGTGAACCTGGGATTGATCTGTCCGGAGAAATCGCGTAATTTTCTTTAATTCACCTGGAAGGACTTATTAATCTGATTGTATCGTCAGAACAGGTGGAAGGCCCAATCCACTCTGAAGTTGTCATGAAACTTGTAATCCACTGAGATTCCTATATTTACTATTGCTTGATCATCCGTAATGGGAAAGATATTACGACAATTCAAACAAATACTTTGGGATGAATACACAATGTGACACAAAAAATTACTTGAGGCTCTTGATCGGTCGGTACAAGATCTACATGATAACAATCAACCATTTGGCATAGCAAAAATATTGCCGGATAGAGATTTTAGACAAAGACTGCATGACATTCTTCGATCGATCGAGGAGATATATGCTTGCCTAAAATACTTAATGTAGTGGCGATATAAATGAAGCTTGAAATTAATCACCAATATGGCGGTCGACCTGCAATTTGATACGACGGCCGATGTTACCTGAAATGGGAAACGACAAAATACCAATTAAATGGGTTTCAGGACGAATTTGATCAATCGATAACTTTTGTAATGTAGTGGAATGAAAATAAGTATTGTTCACGGAGTATTTCCAAATGTTAAAATCTATTATAGGCAACATGCATGGCTGAGTGAGATGCCAACGATTTCAACCAGACTATTCAATCCAACATCGACTTGCAGTCAAAAAACTACAGATTAACGCAAAGAAACAAAAATTCAAAGATTTGGAGGTCCTCATTTCTAGAATTTCTACAATTCTGTCCTTTTCAAGGCTTTCATTTCATTTCTAAAATTTTGTATTGACTTCAAAAGAAAAAAAAAATAAATTTTAAATTTCGACGCTCCCGAAAAATTAATAAAAAATATGACAAAATTTTATAAAAATTAGAGTCCCGTAGCTGTTCGCCAGTAAGCACATCATTATTTGGAGCTTAGAGTTTTTGAGCGAAGAGTACCACAAACGAAGTTATTAAGTATTGGACGAACTTTTCAGAATCAAAGAATTGATAATTCTACTCTATTAAAATAGTGACTAGGAAAGAGATTTTATTATACTGATATTGGCAGCTGACTAAAATACCTCAATACCCAAGTTGCTTTTAGTGTCAGATTATTGTCTTCTAAAACTCTTTGCAATAACTCATCAATGGTTCCCATATTTCGTAGAATTAAAAAAAAAGACCGTTGAAATTCAACCGTTTTCAGATGTTAGGTTAGGTTGAACTGACTGGCTCCTTTGAGAGCCTCCTATGGATGATACCACGTCCATGATGTTACCAGAAACATTACATAAGACCAAAGCTGAAGAATATGCTGTGCTATTAGCAAACTGAAGAACGCGTTTTGGCTCTTTGTCTATTACTAATTAAATATTCACCCAGTATGATGTACAGAGCGCCAGACACTGACGGATTACCTGCCTAATTGTCGCCGCACATTCGCTGTATATATTTCCGAATTTGAATAGATGACTGACCAACAGGCAATGCCATTGTTAGCCTTACCACTAGCCTGGAGTCTGACCTCTTTGCAGCTATTAGAAGCTTAGTAAGCCTGCCTAATTCTACTAACCTTATTCGTTCCCAAAGTATGTTAGCATGGCAATGCAAGAGCATTTCTTGTTCAGCGTTCAACTTCTTTCAAGTTTAAGTTCTTTTCTGAAAAGTCTCCACTATAAGCTGTGCTTTTCATAAATTTTAATATGTTGCATTCGCGTTGTCTTCCAAGCACCATTTTTCGCGCGCTTTTTCATATGCAATCGTCCACAGCGCAACCCCATGTACCCTACCCTCCGTATATGTATTTATTACATTTTGATAAAGAGCTTCAATCGTCTGGATGCTATCGCTGAATTACGCCTCACCATCGACCGTCATTTGAGTTTATGCACTGAAGCCTGTTGCAATTGAAGAAAAAAAGCGCAGAGTAAAGGCGCGGTCACTGATGTTAACAGCAATTTGCAATTGAAACATGATTTGCTTGCATCTATGTTTACGCACAACGTTGAGGAGTAAGTACAACTTGTGCGAAGAGTGCTCAAACGGTCAATGAGTATTGAATTACTGGCTAAGGATTTGCGGGTGCTCTTCCGCACTGTATTGCTTACTTACAGTCACTTGGCTTGGATACAATGCTACTTGCAAGTTTTCGCATAATGTGGGCTCGTAGAGCTGAGTTTAAATTATTTGATGTATTCGTGTTTTGATTTCCTTGCCTTCGAACAATTCAACCTCTAGGCACGGCTGAAAGGGAAGGAGTTTCAGTGAAGTTACAACAGCCAGCCAGCTCAAAATTCATTCCCTCTGGTGATCATCTTTCTCATGGAATCCAAAGTAATATTTAGTTTCATGTTGAAGTTCCCCGGGCGAATATTATAATGCTTGAAATGTAGTAAGGAACCGAACAGCTTATTGACATTCTTCTTAACTAAAAATATCCAAATGCACTTACTCACAAGTGTTGTTAACTCTTTCGAGTGGGTATGTGTATGTGTTCCGAAAATTCCTCTTTTTAAGAATCTATCAGTTAATAATATAGCAGTACTTTCACTGTGTAGGAGATTTTTGATCTTGGGGTGGAAAGGAACTTACTTGACCTTCAACGATGCAGCTTGGGTAAGAAGAATCTAGCGATAGCGCCTGTATAGGTGTTAGTTCAGTGCTCGCTGAATTGGTGCAAGGCACTTCTATCCAAGGCAGACAGCTTGTTGACAGTGCTGCCCTTAGTTTGGCTTAAGCGAGTATACCCAAACGTCCGAGCTTATCAGTTTCCAATAATTCCGCTGCGACGCTGTACCCATTTGATTTTAATTCTAAAATAAAGTCGACGCTATAGACAATGGTAATAAACCCTCTTTCACAGTTTTAACAGGCTCACCCTGAGTGAACTCTGTATCGTAATAGCCGATTGGGTATATGAGTAAATTTTGATCAGTCTTATAGAAACCTGGAATTCAGAACCAACCATCGATATATAATTCTCTATAGAAAACTTCTTTTGCCGATTTGTCTGCCAAGTTTCAAGCAATCCCCAAAGAAGTAAAGTTAAGCCGAACAATTTATTTCCAAGGGCAATATGTTATTGCTTACCAGTTTTGCAGAGTATCTTGGTTTTAGGCATGCTAAAAACTGAATGAGAGTCGCAATAGCCGGGTGAATATCTTGCGTACTTCCATTCGGACCAAGACCCAAAATGAGGTTTTCTGATTACGGTGGCCCCTCGGCAGGGAATGATTAGCCCTCCGAGGTTATTTCTGGCAGGAAATGAAAAAGCTGCTCGGAAAAATCATATGACGGTTCGGAGGCGGCTCAGAGGAGCTCAGCCGAATATCGCCCCGGTAGGGGATCGTTGCCCTCACTAAAGTCCGTAGCTTTGATATATTGTTGGAATTAAGCGGCAAATAGAAATACACAAAAATATCAGAAGCAATTAGAAAACATCAAACTAAATCTTGAGAGTCTTTTCGGACTCCTAGGCCTAGTGAATAGGATAATATCATCTGGTTTTGTCATATAACCAGAAGTGAAAGGAACTAAGAACAGAGACATGGGTCCAATGAAAGACCGAAATATTCTTCATCATTTCCTTCAGCCAGTCTTTAAATCCAACCTACAAGCGCCCCGGTGCAATAGGCGATACGGATAGGAATAAGCTCTTGAGTCAGTTTGAACTAATAGTTTTCCGAAGGCAGCTGTTTTTCGAAATATCTGCAGTGCTCTGAGAATGGGCGACGGTATATACCTCAGTTGATCTAATGGTGATGATGATCCGCTTAAGATATAAGTACGCGTAAGTGAAGGCACTCCACCTTAAAAGGCTTTCTTGGTTATACCTGCCTCCGATGGAAAGGTCAAGTGACTAGAGACATGAGTACACTTGATGCCACTAATAGTTTTGTTATATAAAAAGGAACAATTTTAGGAACAAAATTAGACAAGTCCAGACCATATGACAGTTATTACAAGGATCTAAAGGAATACAAAAATTTCAGATGTAGGGTGAAGAAAAAAAATTATGAATTTACTAGGATTAATAACTTAATCCCAAATATTAATTTGAAAGATTGCGAACTTTCATTTTTTCGATCAGCTTACATCATAAATGCCACATGTAGGTCACATTATCTTCTACTGGATACCTCGCTTATATATATGTAAGTATGTAATACATTTGTGATCCACAAAAGAGACAAAAGTGCATGTAAATACTTAGTACTTAATGTAATACTGGTAATCTACTTTTCTGCTCTTCTTACTCACCTACCAACCCGACATCGTTTACCATAAAAAATGTGCAACGTCATTTACTCTCACACGTTAACTACGTGCTAGTGATTATCGCATACGCCACACGCTCAACATCGGCATACCAACATACTTTTAGGCGTTGTCAACACTGTTGATACTGACATTTTTTCACTTCCTGATCTGTCGTTGTTTTTGCCTTAAGCTTGGCGCATGTCATACGTGTGGGCATTTATGCTAAGTACTTGAATCTACAAAAGTGGTTATGAATAGTTGGTTGGGCTGTGTGGTGTGGTGGACTTAAAAGGATTTGTATGATATTACCCTCTTTTTAACTAAGTATGTGAGGTTTTGAGTTAAGTACAATACTTGAGATTAATATAGAAATGATGTAAGGTGAGTAGGGAAAAATAATATGATAAATATGTTGGGGGGGGTTAAATATGAATGTGAGGTGAGAAGGAGAGGAGGATAACTAAAGCAAGTTTTAGAGCGCGTGTATCGAGTGCTCCTCATTGAGAATAATCAAGAAAGAACCTACCAGAGATGCATGCGAAAAATTGTTAGGTAAATAGGAGGCGCAGTCAGCTCATCAGCATGTTATTCAGTGAAAATCGTAACAATATGTATACTCTAGTGTTGCCTTTTATATTTCAGGCTTTTGCAACCTTACTATTGTAATGAGCCAACTGACAACTTTATTGTAAAGTCGAACATTTTTAATCTAAAACATAGTCAGAGTCAGAATTGTGTTTTTTACAGCAACTTAATATGTTGAGCTCGGCAAAAAAAATGGAATTAAAACATGAACATTTTCGTAACTTCCGGCGTGGATTAACTCAGCAGCAGTGCATCAATGAAGTTCATTAAAGTTTTGGCGATAAAGCTCCATCAAGGAGCAGCTTTTATCGTGGGTTGTTGAATTCAATCGAGGTCGTACATCACTCAAAGATCGTGAAGATCGTCGAGTACGTATGTTTTGGAGAAACCTTAATCAGGTTGGCAAAAGTGCTTCGTAAATTCATTCAAGCCTTAGCAAAAGTTTATGAATCTAAATGTAGAATATTATGAAAAATAGTAAAGCACTTTCCGATGATTAACATCTGTTTTTGTACTCTAGCCCGGAAACATGAGAGCCAGGCCACACATATCAGTAGTGACTCGGCAGATGATCGTGAGCTCGATTATGTGGCTCCTGTGCATTCACTGGACTATACCTCACATGATGTTATTACCATCTGTACCTGTATATGGTGAATGATAAGGCTGGCGAAGAATTGATTGTCTATTAGAGAAGCTTAAAGACATAACCTTTAAAATAGCAAAAAGTTATTAAGCAAAACGGTGCATAATTGTGAAAAATCGTTTAATGCAAGTTGAGACTTCTACTCAATGAAGTTCAGCAATACAAGGGTCTATAATAATTTCATTGGTTGGTTGGTTGTTTGATAGAGGAGATTGAAGACTTGACCCGAACCACTGAGTAGACTTATCACATCCCCCGCATATCTTAACTATGCGTTTTTGCACAGTTCGTGACAATTTTTTCCAGCCATACGTTGTTGAAGTTGGGTGCATCGTGAAAGTTATATTGCCTCAATCTGCTGAAGGAGGCATACTCTCATCTCAGGTGATTCCACCTCACCTTGATTGTGCAGTCGTAGATAATTCATTAATATACCTAGTTCATCCCAGTGGCACGACTTATTTATATTAGAACGTAAATGCTCCTTTATGGCCTACTGATTTCGAAAATATTTAAATGCACTAAGAGATTTCATGCAGCCGATGGTGGCAACATTGCTAGGCCGTATGCATTTGCATTGCAGACACACTAAATGGCCTCAAAGGCCGGTTGGATGTCTACAAGAAACCAAATTTATTTTCCTAAATAAACGGTTGTCCATTTGACTACTTCAGATGTATTCGCAATTCGGTTATCAAAATTACCGGAATGAAGCCGAAATTGTACATTATTGACTGTTACAGTATCAGGACCGTAAACGTGAATAGCATTTTCAGTCGCCTGGCTTGTGTTTCTGCCCTTATCGAAGAAAATCTGTTAAATATCGCGTATTTTCTCTTTACGAGTGTCCATCTTTGACGCAGGCTCAAACAAAACTGAATCAACCAATCATGAAACTGTGAGAAAAGTTTTCTTAGTTCAAAATGTCAGCTGTCTAACGTCATCTGGTGGAACCCGTTCAGACTTACACAGCGCGAGGTAAAGATAAATAACGCCATCCCTTTTCCTTTGAACATCGTCATCAAGCTTAGAAGGCGAGGTTGATCTTCGGGGTTAAAATCTCCAAACCGAAATTTCGCGAACCATTTCTTTACTGTGCGGAGTGCTGGAGCACGGTCCAACTAACTTCGCGAATATCTTTAGTTGCAGCGCCTACTGTTTTTCCTTTGCAGAATTCGTATGACATAATATGACGCATATGATCTTTTTCGTTGTCCATCTTCCATGCGTCTTTTCACTAAGCAACTCAAATCAAAATGAAGTTATTTTATGCTTGATTTACAGTTCGGACTGTCACCTTTCCAACGATATATAATATGTATATATTTCTTTCACGAGCGCCACTCTCAAAGGATTCGAACGGCATCCAGCGGAATCGGGCACGAACTTATGCACTCATCCAATACAAATAATACAAATAATGGATTTCTTTATACTACACCTCTTATTAGTATCAACAACTTTTTAAAGCCAATAGACGATTTGATATCCGAGCAATGACTTCTCGAAGGACTTCACTAAAGAATAGAAATTATACTGTTACTTTCTCACTTACAATTATTCCGTTTGAAGAATTTTTGTATATTAAGAAATATTTTTCTGATTGAAGGTACGTAAGAGAGGCGTATGAATGTCAATACAATTAATTTATAATTTATTTCATAATATTTATTAAGAACATATAAATATGTACATACAGGTTTTGGTTAATAAAAAAATACTCATTTGCAACTATTTAAATTAAAATAAAGAAAAATTGAAATTCACAAAATCACTCAAACACTGAAAGGCGCCCCAATTAAGCGTTGATGCAACAATATCGCAAACACACACACATATACAAGTTGCCTGAGCAATGTGTCAATGATAGCCAACCAGCCGATAGTCGCATTGTTTCGCATTTGCCAAGCCAGTTTTGCCAGCTTTGCCACATTAGCCAACTTGTAGCCGCACGGGCCCGTCTAGTTAGTTGACGCCTTTTTGCTTGCCGCATACTAGTACGTGCGAGACACTATATCGTTGGCAAGTGATGCTCGGTGCGGTGGAGTAGTGTTGCATTCTTATTAATCGGCTGCAGTTTCACATAGTCCTGATGATGATGCGACAGCTGTGTGTTGGTTAGCAATGGAAGTGAAGTATTTGAAGTCTGGGGGTAGGAGAAAAAGAAGAAGAGGAAGAGAGAAAAAAGTGAGCGAAGAAGAACGGAATTGGCTTAAAAGGCAGATAAGAAAACTAGAGAAAAGTAGTGAAGAAAAAAATCACAAATTTTCTGAAAATTGTCCAAAATTGGCAATTCTTGTTAGTTTGCTGCCTGCGTGCGTTCTTCTGATGCGCTTGCTTCTCTAGTTTTCACATAAATATCTACATACATACATATATCGTAGAAAGTTTATTTTTTGACGTATTTACCTTAGATTTGTCACGCGCCGCTTGTGCTGCCAACAGCAATGGTGTTTGTTGCTGTTGCTGCTGCTGGTGTTGTTGTTGTTGCGCCTGCAGCGGTGTATGTTGTTGTGATTGCGGCTGCAATTGTTGACTATGCGGCTGCAATATCAAATGTTGTTGCAACTGTTGATGTTGTTGTTGCAGTTGTAGTTGTTGTTGTTGTTGCTGTTGCAGCAATTGTTGTTGACGTTGTAGTGTGACTGCCTCCAAGCTATTAACATGCTCCAGTTCACGCTGCTTGGCAACGTAATCATCGAAGTATGAGTGTTTGATGAGCTTTTCGCAGGACCAACGCTTGGCCGGATCCTTGTCCAAACATTTCTGAAAGGCAAGCGAAAGCAATTGTCGGTTAACAAAGTTTACTTTTTCCTTCTCTACTTCGAATACACTGTTTCACTTTTCGCTTTCCAGCTTTGAATTTCATTTGTTGCGTTTGTCTTTTGTAACGGGATTTATGTACTTATATTTCTACGCATACATACGTGTACATACATATGTATGTAGGTATATATGTATATACTTGCCTTGAGAAAGTCAATGGTGAGCGGATTTTGTAGTGATTTGGCTGGCATTTTGTCTTCGAGTGGCTCGAGCGTTGGTGGCACCGGTAATGTGATGCCCTGAAAGTTGAAGAAATATTTTTATTTTATTTTATTTAATAATTTAATGCCGCGACTTCTGCTGCAAGGAATTTAAAAAAGCTTTTTCATGTCATTGCTCTATTGGATTATGCTAAGTTTAGTTTTGAGGTGCTGTCTCAGGACATTTGTTTTTGGGATAGTGAAATAATTTTTTAAAAAATTTAAGATAAATTGAATTTCAAATTTTTTTTAGGTTATATAAATAATATTCATAAAAAAAGTTCCCTTAGCAACCACTCAACACAAACGTGGCCATGTTTCGTGCTTTAAGAAGAGATGATGATGCACATAGGCGTCCAAGAAACTGGATAAATTTAAATAATTGATTTGAGAATCTGAATCGGTTACAGAAACTGTGAGGGCTATGCAACATAGTTTAGACACGATGTCTGTTGATTGATGTTCTGAATAGTTGGGACCTTTTTTTTGGCTCATTATGGCGTATTTGATTTTTAGACTTACATCTATCTAAGTTCAGCTTACTGCTGGTAAGAGAAGAGGGAGAGAGGGAGAGAGGGAAAGAGAGGAAGAGAGGAAGAGAGAGAGAGGGAGAGAGACGGTGAGAAGGGAGAGAGATGGATGGAGAGTGAAGGAGACATGAAGGGAGAAATGAAGATAGGGAGAGAGAGATTTAGAGAGGGAAAGAGAGACTTATAGAGGGAAAGAGAGACTTAGAGAGGGACAGAGAGAGAGGGAGAATTTAAGAGAGAGAAGAAGGAAAAAACACTTAATGAGAGGAAAAATATTTAGTAGATTTCTGTCTTTACCATTGTCAAGTGCCATAAATTGTGTTAATATTCGAATTCCTTCTTTTTCTTGGTATCGGATATGCGACAGAAGAGAGAGGGAGTGAACGAGAGTGAGGGGAAAGACAAAATGAAGAAGGGCGTGCGAAAGACAGACAAATAGACAGAGAGAGGAAAAATCACTGTTGATTTCTATCACTCAAAGGCCGAGAAAAAAATTTAACATTCCAATGTCAAGGCTGAACAGTGGCAGAAAAAGTGCTCGATGGTCTCCTCCTCTTCTCGTTCATCCATCTTGAGTCAGCTTCCCTGGTAAAAGCCAGCTTAAGTATGCACGAGTACTTTGCCATGGACACAGGTAAATTAGCATCATGTGCATGTTTTATGGTGGGTTAGGGGGTTCCTTCCCTTGCTAGTTCGTCCGCCATGCAGTTGCCTGGGATGTGGCCACTTTTGACGTGGGCCATGGAGAGATCTGATTGCAGCTTGATTGTCCTGCTGCCGTATATATATAACACCTTTCAGCGCTACAGTGATCCGGTTTCCAGCCATCTGTGAAAATGGCTGTGGCTCCCTGGTCGGGGGCATTGGTAATTTCCGACTCGCATCTGTTTAGGATTCTCTGCAATTCTTCCAAGGTTGAGCCGCATTCAGTCTGATTGCATTGTAGCCCGCTTGTAGTCTCCCGTATAGGTCCAGAAAAAGGATGTTGAGAGGAGTTAACAATGCTTTTGAGGGAGTAGATGGAAGTGCTTCTGTTACCAGGATAGCAGTCGATTGTTGAACTCTCTCTAGTTTGCTCATGAAAGTAATTTTATCGACTGACGGGCACCAAACAGTGACGCCGTTGTATGGGATTGGTTTTTCTGGAAGAGGTATTTCCATCAAGCTTTGTACTGAAATGATCATGTTCGTACTGTTTGTCGATGGAGCATCTCAAAGCGTGAAATTTGGTATTTCCCACGTATAAAGAAAAAAACGTCAATACGCACAGCCCCGTAAAGGTTACGTAGAAGCGTTCAACCAAATATTTACAGTATTCTCAGAGGGGTTAGCCATGTTGCTCCACTCATTTGTTCTCATCTCATCTCTTTATGATCATCTTAAATATTTATGATAAAACTGCTTATCCTCTAATAAGATAAGATGTTAATAAGCGTCTTCTGGCATTATGTATATGTTCCCTACACACTGTATATGGTATGCGTTTTCAACCCGTCTCTAAGTTATAATGAGTGACATTTTTTATAAAGTAAATTTCCTACTCACACTTCACCCACTCACCTTGAAATATTCGTTTTGTGAGAAAATCTGTATGTGGCGCGGTAGCAGGTCACCTAAAGTTTTGCGTATCAAATACAACTGATCCACATCGCTACGACCAGGCCACAACGCCTCACCGCGCACCAACTCGGCAAAGAGACAACCAATCGCCCACACATCCACTGCGGTGCCGTACTGTGTATCGCCAACGAGTAGCTCAGGCGCACGATACCAGCGGGTGGCGACATAGTCTGTGTAATTCTCGCCAGGACCTGCGTCAGGTGTCAAAGGTAAATAGAGGAGAAAACAAAGAGAAAATAGTAGTGGGCTATGAAAATAATGAAAATAAAGTGTAATAGGGAGATATGTAAAACGTAAATGTAAAATAGCAAAAGATAGCAGCAGGGAGAAAAGCAATATTCGCTGAACAGCAGCGTTTACTTTCAGTTAATATTTTGAGCTTAATATTTTTTCATTGCTTTCTTTCGCTATTTTCCACTATTTTTAGCATTGGTTGGTGCTAAGTTTCTTTCTTCTTCGCCATCAAACTATCCACGCCACTTGTGCAACTTCTCATCCTCTCCACATCTCATCATCTCATCTTACTTACTTAACATGCGCGCAAAACCGAAATCGCACAACTTCACTTGCCCCTGCGCTGTCAACAGTATATTCTCCGGTTTGATGTCACGATGCAGACAGCCCTGCTTGTGGCAATACGCCACCCCTTGCAGTGTCTGGTAGACAATCTGTTTGGTTAAATGCTCCGGACAGCCTTGCGGATGTCGCTCCAATTCGTGCAACACTGTCAACTCACAAAACTCAAATACCAAATGCAAGCGACGTTTACGCCGGAATACCTCTAGTAGTGAGACCAGATTTGGATGTTTCAGATTCTAAAGCGAAAAGATAGGAAAAGAATTAGCATTACAGTGTAAATAACCGAAATAGAAAGAAAGGAAAAGAAAACTAAACAAATTTTGAAATCGTTGAGTTGCAAAACATGTGACACACACATCGATGATGAATGTGTCCACGTGACTACAATTGCTTGGCTGGGCGTGAAAATGTGTATCTGTATTTGTATGTGCTGTTTATATATATAAATGTCCTCTTGCTTTTGCAAACTGTAGTTTTCAGCAGCTGCTTCATTAAATATTGAATTTAAAAATTGTTAAGCAACTTTTGAGTCTGAAGATCTGATGGAAGATTTTGGGTCGATTTTGGACATAGTAAAAAAGAACACAATAAATGCGCTCTCATCATTTGCTTTAGTTTAGCACTGTGTAGTCTTAGAAGAAAATTGCTAATGATAAAATAATACAGGGTTATACATTTTGCGGTTTCGAAAATAAATCTGTAGAAAATGCAATAAAAAAATTTTTTTTTATGAGATTCATTTTTTATTATAAAGTTGATGAAATGTGAAACACTACATAATTCAAAGCATCGCCCCTCGAATTCTCGCAAACTCCGTTTCGTTTGGGGTAATTTTCGACCTCTTTTTAGCACATCTTGGGCGGTATCTCAGCCATAACTTGAGGAATGCTGGCTTTCACCTGCCCAACGTGTTAAAGGTTTAACCGCATAAGAACGGTCTTTCGAGTAGCCCGACAAAATTAAAGTCTAACGGTGTCAAATCGCACGATCTTGGTGACAAAATGATATTTCCAAGACAAGAGATAACGCCGTTGGGAAACTTCTCTCACAGTAAAGTCATATTCGCTCATATTGTGTAGCATGTGAGACCATTTTGTTGATACCACAAACTGTTCAAGTCGTGTTCTTCAATGTTGTGATGCTCAACGTTTCGAATTGGCAGTAACAGTCTCGCTGTTGTCGTTTTCAAAGAAGTAAAGTTCACTCACACCTTCGGACCAAAAAAGCACATCAGACATTGTAAAGCGCTCTTTTCTATTATTTGAGTATTCTTGGAGACCTAAATGAGACATGTTTGCTTATTTACGTATATCTCGTGTAAGAAATGTGCCTCGTTGCTGAAGAAGCTTTTATTCTTGTTGTTTAAGCGTTCAAACGATGTATGAACGGCTATAAGAAAGTCCCATTCGGGTCTTAGGCTGCACTTACATTAAGCACTAAGGGAGGTGGAACAAGCAAAATTGTAATGCCGAACCAGTATCTTCAAATTTGTTTATAATTTTATCAATTGCTTGAGTAGTTGAACGGTGATGTGCACCATAATCTCCTATCAAAGCACGAAACGCGGCGATATTTCAGCAACCATTAACTGAAACAAAACATGTTTTGTTCGAAAGTAACGTTTGACAAATGTCAAAATATCGCCTTGTACTTTGAAAACTACGAAATGAATAAATTAATATACAAATTTTTGGTTTTTCTTTGTGTTGGATCTTTTTCCTATTATGGAAGAGAGTTTGCTGTCACATGATCAGAACATCTGGGAATGCATTCGTTGAAATAATTTTTGCACCGTTGCTTTTCTAGACACAGAGATAGCTCTTGAGAGCTTCGAAAGAGTGATTTAAAGAGTTTATATGATAGCCAATGACAGTGGACTTTATTACTTAGCTACTTTTGAAGTCAGTAAAACCTGCAATATATGTGTCAGAGTCATTGATTACGCCATTGAAATCAATAACAATTACCATAAACTTTATGCGGCTTAATGCAACGCAAAAGGTAAGGGTTAAGCTCGAAGAACTGTCGTAATATTTACACACCAATGGCAGGATGAGCATTCATTTATGGTGCGACTATGTGGCGGCCTGCTATTGACAAATCGGCATATTAAAAGAGGACATTTTCAAGTAAATAGGAGTTTTGATAGCCTAAAGACAGAATAGGTGCCAGACTGTAGAATAATGTCGCTTCTTATAGGACACAGTGTTGGAGTTTTAAAAATAACGTTGTAAAGAAAATTTGTGCAATAAATAATTAGTTCAATGTTTGATATACTTATATATTATGGACACTTTGTAACGGCTGAAAAAATTCGTTTGAACTCCTCCAATATATGGATAGAAACTACACTCTGAACGGCTGATAGACCTTAAATGTCAGAAACATGTACTGATCGCTTTTTTCCTCTCGTGAGGCGGCCGTGAGCAGAAAAATTAATTGAAAACTGTTTTTTTTATAATTTTCGATTTTGTTGTGGACAGAATTGGAACCAGTGCTGCACCTAACGACAATATGCACTGCTAACCACTAAGTTTGCCGAAGTCTTTGCAGTTTGGGAAATTGTCCTGATTCAAGAAACAAAGCGTTCAACTGATTTTAAAACTATCGAGCCCTTCAAGGTAACGTTAAGAAAAAATTTTAATAATTTTAGATTTATTCGGCCGAAATAACAAAGCATAGTTTTACGAAAATGAAGAAGAAGCATGAGCCTTTGGAAAAACCACAAATCTGAGTAGTCACTGAATATGAATGAATTTAGTATTTTAGCTATAGTTCCTCGAAAGCATGGCAGTCGCAATAAAATTCAGTGATAATCTATTTATCCCTCTACATAAGTTTCCATAGAGAGAGCATAAGGGTAAGAGTAATAATCAGAAAGCTATCTGACACAACTTTCTCCCAAGGGTAAGCTTTGAGATATTTGATTATGCCAGAGTTACTCCTTTAATTGCATCTAAACATTATATATCCCACATTGTTTTCCGTAAAGGCAGTAAGTCCTCATTGAAATTAAATTCAAAAATCACATGAGCTTACTTGGGCCATAATTGATAGAATCCGGCTCTCTCTCTCTCTCTCGGAGAGTACATGTACCTGAAAATGTGTATACTTGCTCTCCATTTGCTTAAAATAAATCAGATGAACTCCCAGAGGTCCAACAGATTTCTAATTTCGAACACTCCTATTCCTTGGCCTCACGAGTAGATATAAGAGTCAGTCAGTCTCGTAGCTGACTCATTATTATTTTAATACACTCGAAAAAATCAGTTTGCTTCAATTGAATACATCGAAAAAGAACCGAAATAACGGAGAATCTGACAAATTTTGTGAAGGCTCTGATTTTTTCCTTGCGAAATTTCACTGCTATAGAGCGTACCGAGCGAAAAAGCTTTCGCATATTTTTCGCAGTTGTTAGTTTTTAAATTTCAAGATTTTAAGGAGAGGCTTACAGGAAATTTTTCAAATATTTCTAAAATTTTTTCTCTCTTATTATTAATAATCATTCCACAGAAAATGGTTAGCTGCACATAGACATTGTCTTCTCCAAAGTCTTGATACTTTTGCATTTGTGCGCCTGAGTGTGCTTTTGTGATTATTTCAATACTTTCTATACTCTCTAACACATTTGATTCTGTTCATAGAAACTCCCATACTCACTTTTAGCAGTCGAATTTCACGTAAAGCAATTTTCCTTATAGCCGGATCGTCTTCCGACTCCACAAAGCGTTTAACTGCCACTAAGGCGCCCGTTTCACGATCTCGACATTTATACACAACACCATAAGAGCCTAGGAGAGAGCATATTTTATTGCATGTTTTCTTTAAATTTTGAGTTAATCATAAAGAAACTAGCATACCTTCGCCAAGCCTACTTAATTTCTCATATCGGTCCATTTTGCTGCTACCCTGAGGCCTGGAAAAAAAATATAATAATATATAATTATGTATGTATGTGAGTTTTTGTAATGATTTCAATAATTTTATATGGATTTGTATTCCTAAGTTTTAAATTTTATTTATCATGTGTGTAGGAAATTATGGTTATAGTTGACGTTGTATATTTATGAGGGTCGCTTGCTTGGGGGTTGGTGGGGAAGGGCGAAGCTTGCTGAAAGTCATGTTATATTTATTCCGATCTATTACAGAAAATTCTTAAATTTATTAATAAGTGTATCCTGTTGTGAGTTACTTATTGCGAAACACCGATAATTATTCGTTTTAATTAGAAAAAGTATATGTATGGTAGATCGGTCTCGACGGGTTGCTTCTATTTTTATGGGTTCTCATATAACAAATTTTCTCAGAGCTCTTGGTTGTTGAATAAATATTTCAGAAGACGCCATTTTGATAATTTCTGTCTGGCTGTGATCAGGCGCTAGTTTATTTATAAGAAAACAATGTGTGCTTGTGGACCGCACACTAACAATATTTGCTAAATGTATCTCTTCACTGAACTTCCGTTGGCACGCCCTTCCATTCAAACTTTTCTTTTGAACAGATTCACCAGCTTACACTCATACCCAGCTAATGAAATAGTACTTAACTTTTTTTTATCCGCTCTCCACCTGATCATTCAAACGGAGTGAAGAGACCTCCTGTTTTCATTGGAGAGTACTGCATCGAAAACTTTCAAAATGTAGCCGTTGCCCCTTCATTCGCTGAACTATGTCACTGCTACCGTATAATTCGTACAACTCATCGTTCCATTTAACTGGGCCCGCAATGATATAGAGCTCTAATATTATTTCATATAAAATTAAAACAATTTATTGGCAAAAAAAAAACTATTCTGAAAATTCTCGTTTTATAAGTATGTCTCTGACTATATTTGACTCAACTACTTAAATTATTGAGAAAAATCCACGTCTAGCAATAAGAGTTACCCATAATGAGGAACATTTTAATATAATAACTAAATTCCCATTTTTCTTCAAATCTGGGGATCTTAGCAATGCTTTTGAGATGAAATTTACTTCGGCTCTTAAAATTGGCTTTTGTTGGGAAAGTAGTGGGGTAAGAGTGAGATGAAAAAAGACAGAGGAATCAGTACGGATGGAGTTTTTTCAACATAATTTTATACGACAATAACCTTCCCTCTACTGGAAGTCAATCTCTACTGCAGCTGAAGAGAGCTTTTTGATTCCGAAAGAGAGATACCAAGTTACTTCGAAATAATTGAAGAGGTTAATTGTTTAGTAGAACTAGTAAATTACTACCCTAAAAATTTGCAATGAGTTCCTAGTTACAAATTTAACCTAGGTAATCGTGAAGTATATGATGTAACACTTTAGACCTAGATAGAGAGGGAACGCATAGATATTCAATTGGAAAATATGTTAAATATATAGCTGAGTCTCGTTACAAACAATCTCTGACTTATTTAAGAACAAAACAAACATAGCCAGCAAAGAATATGGGCCATAAATGCCCGAACTGGAATTTACAGGGAATGACATAAAACCTCTAATGGCAGTACTAACGAGTCACTATCTTGATTGCGGGCACGCCATTGAATACCAAGAATACCAAGAATACCAGAGTATCATCTTTGTACAATAGGTGTTAGACTTTATATAGAATCCTGAGGACCTTTAATTATCGTCAGTTTTTTGCACGATGTCGGAAGTTAATTGAGTTAATTGAGGTCACACTGCGGTTCAGAGGGAAGTGGTGTGGTGGAAGTCATTTAAGTACCGCTGTACGCTTACTCTGGCCTAGTGAGAAGCAGCTTTCTCTTAACCCTGGCTTTTTGAGAAATATTGGAAACCAAAGCTAGCAATGTTCTAAATATCAAGCATATCGTAAACCAAATGGGATATTTTCGAATAGATCGGTCTGTGCAGTTTGTCAAGTCCTGAAGAGCCAGAGTTTACTATTCATCGAGATGTAAATCTGCTCAGTTACGAGTACAGACACACAAGTTCAACAGCTAAACTATATGAACATTTATGCCAATACAGAAATTTAGTGAGAAACTTTTTAAGAGATGATGGTATAGTATATTTCATAACGAAAAGTGAGTTCAAGATATCTTCAATTGATTTTAAAAACAACAGTCTAAACTATAGTAATGGGGTCTTTAAAATGTACTTTACCTAAGCGATGAACGGCAAATAAGAACATTTTTGAGATTTTATTAAAATAAATAGCATTTCTGTTTGGTAGATTCATAAGTTTTAAGCGACCATTATACGGAGGAAGCTTTTGGCGAGAATATCATTGGAAATTACGCAAAGCGAGTAACAAAAATTGTTTTTGAGCTGACTTAATTTTGTTAGAATGGAGTTTGTAATTGAGATTCCACCATTCCATCATCGAACAGTATTTCAATATTAGTTGCACTGATGACGTAAAAGGTATTTTGGTAGTGGTAAGGGTCTTGAAATTTTTTACACCATTTTTCGATGATTTGGAGCCGAAGATCAAGTGCTTTTAATTTTTGTTTTATACAAACAGAAGATATTACAACCTAGTCCGAGCACACTACCCACTAGGCAAACTTGTCTTCGGACAAAAGAACCATCCTACCTTTTCAGGAAAACCGAGTGACATGGAGAATCTTTTTTGTCAATGTTGGCAAAATCTACTTGAAAATCATAAATCATAAAATTATAATGAATTAAAAAATGTTATAAAAAGCATTAGGTGTAATGGTCAAGTAACAAGTTTCCATTATTTTTGCATTAAATGAATGTATTGATCAGAATCTCGCATTCAATAAATGGGACTGGATTAAGCCAGAAGATGATATTTTGAGCTAAAAAAAATAACAGATCTCAATTTTTCCGTCTCTTAGCTTAGCAGTGTTTGAGTTCATGTCATGTGTTATACAATTTTTCTTCCTTATAGGCGAAAGCGCAAGTCAGTTGGCTGAAAATGTGAATAATGTTTATGATCCGGATACTATAACAGTCAAATAATGCACAATTTTTGTTTCGTCTTCAATCGACGATCTTAATGTAAAATATGCTCCACGGTGTGGAAGACCAATTGTGATAAAAAAAATAGAAATCGGCGATTGCCCGAAAGCTAAACATTGCACAAAAAACAATTTGGAACCACTTCAGAAAGACTGGATACATAAAGAAGCTCGCGAGAACCCTCTCATGGAACCAATATCCATATGCGAATCGCTGCTGAATTGTAACAAAATCGAACCACCCCTCACTTACGACAAATTCAAACGAAAACGGTGTTGACCGAAGGGTTGTGTGCGAACACAACCGATTAGTTTGGCTGCACTATTGGCTGCTGTTTCCTTACGAAATTTTAATTTGGACATTTACTGTCAGCAATTGGACCGTGTGCCCGTGGGAAAGGAGCCAGCTTTGGCCAAATGGATTGAAATTATTTATCAACAGAACAAGGTTAAACCAAACACATCGATAGTGACTCACGAGAGGCTCACGGAGCATGGTTGAGAGGTTCTTATGCATTCACTTCGCCCAAAGAGATTACCACCCGCTACTTTTTTATTGGTATATTTTTGTTCAGTGATCCAGATTTTTATATTAAAAATTAACAAAAAAGGCAATTTGAATGGCAAACGAATATGTCTCCCTATGAAAAAGAATAAATTACAGTCAATTAAGTTCAAACTATTGATTATTGTGAAAATTATGATTGACTTTGATTTATGAAAAAATTACCTTATGCTTAAATTTGGTGCACGTAGGAAATTAGAGCGACGTGCTGGAACTTCTTTGCGTGGCAGCATTTTGCAAGAACACATTAAGCGTTTTTATATATGTATGTATTTTTTTTATAAAAAATAATTAAATATTTTTATGTGTATAGCCAATGTACAGCCAATTAAGTAAAGTGATTGATGAAATTAAATTTTAGCGAGAAAAAGTTACGGAATTCCAAGCGTTTTTGTGTATTTACAGCAAATTTTTTTGTTTTTTTTTGTTTGTTTGCTAAATGTATAACTAACGATGATTTCGATGAATTCAGCACGTGTGTTGATGATTTGGACAAAAAAAGAGACTGAAAATTATTACTTTTTTTCACAAAAAACTATGAATGAATTAAAAAATTAAAAAATATAGATGTCGAGCAGAAAAGTGCATGGAAAATGCGTGGAAAAGAGAAAGAAATTTACATTATTTTTCGTGCATATATGTATATATGTACATATAGAACATAAAGTGTTTATTGCATTAATTTTTTCCTTTCTATTTTACACGAATATTATTGTAAGCAGCTTAAACAAATGAACTTTCTATTAATACTTTGGCTTACACTTGCATACAAGTCAATACATAGTATGCGCTTACATATGTATATAAATATGTAGCGGATTTTTTCACAAAATTCTTTATATAATAAACAATTGTTTAACTGCAATTTAGGCGATTTTTCCTAGGTAATACAAACAGCTGCTGTGTGTAGTAAAATCAATAATTTCATTTTTTTTTCCAATATGCACAAGGAAAAGTCATGAATCACTTATAGCTGTTAGCTATATATGTGTGTGCCTTTTGGGCATTTCAATGTCGTTAATGTCAACGTTTTTATTTCGAAAGGTGATTGAACTAGCCGCATTGCGCAATACGTGTGAACGGCATAGTGTGGCGCACCAACCGCAGTGGTCAATGATAATTAAATTCTCTTTAATTCACTACTATTTCTCTCGCCTTATACTACACTTGAGTTTATTGCGCGACCGTTACAAATTTATTTTTTCGGCTTTCTCGAAGGTGTCGAAATGGTATAGTCAGGCACACCAAACTACCATACAGCTGTTCTTCGTGTTTTATACTGCTGCTACTTTTGCGCCTGCATGTATGCTACACCCTTAGCACGGTTTTGTCAGCTGCTGCTGTTAGGTAGATATGCATACATATATTTCAACCTATTTCGTGAGTATTATTATAATATATAATATATGTTTGTATGTGTGTGTGCTACTTTTAATACCCCCCGTTATACATATTTATAATTGTTTTGTTTTTGCTTTGTTTTGTTTGTTGCATTCGACAGCGACGCGTAACATAGCAATCGTTGCTGTGCTCGCTAAAACCACAACAAATCGTTACACTAAGCGGTCGTGATGGCGTGGAAAAGCTCACTTGTATGGTTTAGAAGTTTATAGCATTACATTCATTTGTGTATGTATTTGTGTTTATACTGTTTGAAGGCGTTTTTGCTTGGAATTATGTTAAATATTACACTTAAATGCGCAGCTGGTTTTGTTGGTATTAACTTTTTTTCCAATTAAATAAATCGAACTTGTCGTTTAGTGGTGCATTTTTGAATACATTATTACATACATACGTATATAGCATACAGCGAATATTTCCAGAGTACTAGCTTGTATATACATAGCTTTCAGTTTTTATTGTGTTTGATTATAATTAAAAAAAGTGTATAACTTACTTGAAATATTTAACAAAATTTTCATTTCGTATTATTTTTTTTCGTTTAATTTTTCCCAATTAAAATTATTACTTAATTGCCGAAACTGCCAAAAATTCGTTTAAAAAATTTGGCAGTATTATAGACCTCAGACATTTTTATTAACAATTAATTTTTTATTTTTTACTACGAATGCTGTTTTAATACATAAAACCGATTATATTTTAAGCCTTTTTTTAGCAGTGTACAAGGTGCCTAAACATCTAAAATGATTGTTTTGTGAGTTTTTTTTCAAGAATGGGCAGAGTGTCAACAAGAGGACAGATCCTGCAAAGGCTGCTCCCTTTTTAAAAACTTTAAAAAACACAAAAACCCCCTACTAAGAATGAAGGATGCCATACCCGACTCTATGGGCCATGAACATGGGGTTCAGCCAAAACAAAGGTGTTCATTCAGGTTCACAACGTTGATATATTGCTGGTTTCAGAGGCCCATGCCAGGCCAGTCGTACCTTAAGGCAACGTTATGGTTCACGTACCAGAAAGTGATTTTTTTAGAGCTATAGAGACGTTAAAAAGAAACACATGTAATATTCAGAAAAATTCAAGAAATTTTTATTAGCCCAATTTTGACATACTCTCTTCAACATTTCGGCCGTTATCTCACGAATAAATGCTTCAATGTTGTTCTCCAATGCGTCAGTTGAAGCGAGATTGTCTGTATAGACATTAGATTTAATAAAAAATTAGTCCAAAGACGTTAAATCGCACGATCTAAGCGGCCGATTGACCGGTCCAGAACGTGAAATAAAATCTTCACCGAACTCGCCTCTCAATGAGTCCTTCGTTACTCGTGCTGTGTGGTATGTGGCACTGTCTTTTTGAAACTACATGTTAAGTCAAGCTCTTGCATTTTGTGCAAAAACAAGTTTGAAATCATCTCACAGTACTGCTCATCGTTCACAATTACGTTACGATTCTCATCATCTTTGAAGAAGTACGGTCCAATGATGTCACCAGCCCATAAACCGCACCAAACAGTGACTTGTTCTGGATGCATTGGTAGCTCTTGCAATGCTGCTGGCTGAGCTTAACTCCAGAATGAGAAGCGTGTGCGGAAGAACCGCGCGATGAAATTTCTTAATGGAGCACACACTTTTATAATAAAATTCAATAATTCGCAAGCGTTGTTCGTTTTTAAGACGATTCATGGTTAAATTATGGACCAAACTGAAGATATTTTGCTCAACTGTTCAAATTTCGTTTGGTAAATTTTTTATTCAAAATGCCCGAAAGAACTCTAAGCTCGAGTTAAAGCTCGAAAATTTTCGGGCTAAGAGCAATGAACGATCGTGGGATTACTCGTTGCTCAAATGATCGAGACGCTCGAAAATTTTCGAAAAAAAATCTTGAACTCTAATAAATTGTACGACTGGTTTTAAGAGAGGGACTTCCGATAACAGGTGTTATTTTGAATAGTTCTCCATGCAGGTATTCGTCGCTTTTAAAGCGGTCAGTTTTTGACATGTGACATGTAAAAACTACACTAGTAATAAAAATAGAGCGATACACTCTTGCTTGAAATTAATAAAATTCACTATAAAAATTTTATCGAAAAAAAATTTTGACATATGAGGCCCATTTGCACCTTAATAAGCAAAACTGACGCAGCAAGATTTATTGTAGAAAAGCCTCTCTGGGCCCAACGTGTAACTCTTCGATGCTGTTGATGCTCCGGCGGGAGGGTCATTGGTCCTTATTTTGTGGAAAATAAATAGATTGCACTATCGGGAGATGACCACTAGGCTACCGCGGACGCCAATACTTTTTATATGTACTCTAAAGACAAGTATTGAAATTGTGAAAAGATTTACGAAAATTACGAGGTACTGGTATATCAGAATTACGCTATAAAAAGTGTTTGCTTTAACCCCGACCAGTCGAATATTGGTACGTAAACCTAATCGAACTCGGCTTGACATACTACGGAACAACGTGTGCAAATCGTGTAAATTTATCACCAAAATAAAGCCTTGGGTCATGCGATGCACCGCCTGGTACTCCGAGCAACTATAGATTCCTCGAATTGATAATTCGCAGTTAAAGTTGAAGATATAACCATATATATCATCCAAAAATCACGCACATCACACGTGCGGTGAATGGCCGCTGTTGCCAATTTTCACAAGGAAATTTTGCTTAGCGATTACACCAACTTTCCGCTGAAGGGTTGCAATAGTTTTTGAGTCTTAATAATCTATAATATATAATTGAGATGCTATTATATTCTCAAAAGTCATTGTTCGGTGGGCAGAAGAAATCTTTGGTTCCTTTTTTTTCGGGCTTAAGCTGTGAAAACATTGAAAAAATTCTTCTGATTTTTTTTTACTCTTTCAAAAGTAAAAGTAGGAGGCTTTCCTTTAAATCAATGTTTCTTAAAACTGGTGCTCGAGGTTTTGCCTGGAGATTTGAGCAATTAGTACTCGTACACTCGTTTTTTCTCTGAATTAGAGCTTCTTCGAGTATTTTGAGCAAACTTTTTGGCTTTACTCTGAGAACTACTTTCTAGAACTTAAGAGTTCCAGTATTAAAAAAGTATTAAAAAATTGTCTTTCAATTGAGTTTATTCAACAACTAAAGTTGACCATTTACAACGACGTACATACGACGATTGGGTTTGATTAACGAGCAGTGTATGGCGAATGAAACAAAATTGAATAAATTTTTCTTCACCGACGAGACACATTTCTCACTCGGGGGCCATTACAACTAAGAAAGCAAACCGTCTGATGCGCTGTGTTGGGAACTTTGAAAACGACAACGGCGAGACGGTCATTGTCAATTCGGAGCGTTATGAGTGTAAGATAATCGACTGTTTTTGGCCTACAAATGAAGAGCTCGACTTGAACAATATGTGGTTTCAACAAGATGGTTGCATACCACATAACACTAGAGAATTTGCCTTTATGTCGAGAGTATTTCCTTGCACGCGTTATCTCTCATTTTGGGGATGTCGATCGGCTGCCGAGATCGTCAGATGAACACCGTTCGACTTTTTTGTGTTAACTCTTTAGCTGTTATCAGCATTCCTCAAGCTATCACTCATTATGTACCAAATAGTGGTCGAAAATTACCTCAAACGGATAGAAAGTTGTAAAACTTCGCGTTCAGTGGAGTGACGTAGTGTTTCACTTATAATGAATGCCAAGGCTTCAACTTTGGAATAAACAAAGAATTTCTTGCAAAAAAATATAGGGGTATTATACAGGAATTAAAGGTACTAAATAGTTCAAAAAAAAAAAAAATAAGGAAAAAACTTTGTAAAAATTAATACAAAAATCATCGATACACAACCTTTTCTTTTTACACTGACGAGCCTGTGTCATGTGTTTTGAATAATGTTAAATGCAGCAAAAAAAAAATGTTGATCAAAATCTTAATCGCGCACAATTAGTGAAACACTTGTGTTGAAAAAAAAGCCACATACAAAAATGAACACAAATCACATTAAGGCAGACAAGATCGGAGCGATAAGTTGCAACTCTGACGCGCGTTAAACGGCAACTGGATATATCAGCTGCTCTATTACCTCATTATATTACGGCATTGAATTAAAAACCCATAAAGGAAACGCATGATAGTGTGTAGGTACTTATTATAAGCACACATATGTATATATTAGAGACATTTACGCAAACAGTGCGCTGGTTAAATGGTTTAAAAATAGCAAAGAACTTCTTACCGTCGCAGCGAAAATAATTTCGACAGCTCAAACATGGTGTATGCCTGTGTTTCGGTGTTTTTGCTTTGTTTATGCTGTTTTTTTTTTTGTACCAAAATTATGTACAAAGTATATTATTAAGCTACTTTGCCTACGTAGTTTGCACTAAAAATAGTAAATTCACTTGTCTTAGCACAGAAACGAGTTTTCGTGAAGAAATTGTGTGACGTCAGAGCTTCACATGAACGTTTTAACGCATTTATTCATACTCGTATGCAATTATAAATAGAAAATTAATTTTTCAAATTTATCGACCGCCCGACCGACCGACCGACCGACAATGCAACCAAATACACGACCGATCAACTCAAGACCACTGCACGGAATGTCTGTCCTTTCGCCAAAGTCCAAGCATTGTGTTGACGTCGTCTGTGGCGTTGCTCAAGTAAACACAACAAATAGTACACAAACATGCATGAAATTGTAATGTTTTTTTCTTAATCCATATATTTTATTTTTCCATATCCAATGGTGTGAGCGTAATGTGTGCGGATACACAGTATTTAGCGTGGGGTCGATGGGGTCGCAAGTGGCGCGTGGCGTGTGGCGTGTGGCATGTGGCATGTGTAGTTGGGAGTAGTATGTTTAATTTGATGTTGTGGTGTCGCTGCTGCTATGCATGTTTACAATTAAACACACACACACACACACATATATATATATATATATATATATATATATATGCATTTGTATTTCCGTGTCTTTGTGCATCTGTCTCTGTGGTGGTGGAAGGTTCCTTTATTGTGGTGACGGTTTGGCACAACAGCAGGCAATTGTTGAATTTCAATTAGTACAAGTTACACATACGCCATGTAGTACCATCTTGTGGATAGCTGAGTTGGTTGCGAAATTCAAACACAAATATGTATGTATGTATACATGCAGAAATGGACGTGGCAAACGCTTGCAAATACTCATGCGTGCAGTTTGGCTTATTGGCATTGTCTTTAAGACGATTTAATATCGTCTTTGTAGCGTATTTATGTAGAGACTCAGCCTTTGCGGTTGCATGTTCTAGAGCGCTTGTCTTAAGGCATAATTAAGTAGAAGTTGTAAGTAAAACCTTTGTTTGTGTGCATTGCATTTGGACTTCAGTCATACATACTTCTTTGGTATTAAGCTTAATTATCAGTAAATTAAGAGTTTTACTTAATTACAACTTGGATGCGTGAGAAAATGCGAACAAAATTACTTGGCTGCACGCATATGAATTTTTAATGTACGGCATATTGGTTTACACAGTGAAGTAGTGCAGTAGTGTGCCAATAAGTCGGTAGGAAATCGATTCAAAACCTGTTCTAATGAAAGAGAGATACAAAATTTCGTATGGTAGTCATATGAGATAATGGAAAATATGGAATCTCTTTGGGAAAGTTTCAAAAAAAATATTGCACTTTAGCTAACTGAAAGACACTAAGTTTTCTTTCCTAAAAATTTGATATAATTTTGCTACAAATTTTGACCATTTAAAAATGCATTACGTGAAATAGTCACAGAACCACTCGTACAATCCCACTTAGAAATCAAGGTAATCTTCGCTGAGTTAGGAGGTGCACTCGAAACCAGATATGCCAAAAGAGATACCCCAGAGAATGGACTTCTCTCTTCACTTCATTGGTGTTTAGCTTTTAAATCAGCGTGGACTGCTATACGGCAGCTGGAACTTACAATTTTCACTTGGTCTAACAGCGATTTTAGTACTTTGATGAAAAAGATTTTAAATAATTTGATATATGGTATATATATTTTTTTATAATAATTGCTTTACAATACAACGCATAACCCACAACAACTATTCAGGACATATTATTCTGAATTGGAAAATTACTACCGTTCTGGTGGCTAACTCAGGAAATGATAAAATGGTGCAGAAAATTTGCTGGGGGGGACTTGGTTTAAGGCATATATACATATGTACATAAGTACTAGTATTAATATCTAGGCAGAAAAATAGTTAAGTGAACCGCAGGTGTATTAGTATATTCCGTCCACCGCAAATCAGAATGTAATCATTTGACTTGTGGTTGGCGGTATTACATTTACAACGCTTTAGTATGCGGTTACACTTAATATTCAATCGCATATGTGTACGTACAAATACACAATTATACCCAGCAGGGAAAAGTTAAGCAACAATTAATTAAAAACAAATTAATAAAATAAAATAAAATAAAATAAAATAAAATAAAATAAACCTAAGTAGGATTCATGCCCATCGATTTCTAATTTATGGCTAGTTGCTTTCCCTGCTTGGTCGTACAAGTATATTACTATTCCATTCTATATGATGGTCATATCTAATTTTTCGTGGTCGGCCTTTGACCTTTGTGTCTATGTCTTGGTTAGTTTTATTCTTTACAAATAATGTCCATTTCGTGGCGATGAATAGTTCTTGTTATTGTTTTGTCACTGAAATTATAGCGCAAGTCATACAATCACTTAAGAATTCTCTTTAGCTGCGACATTAATATTCAAGCTTTGAATAGCATTCACTCCTATTTTAATACTATAGTTAGGTTACAGTGAAATTCTCAACCCTATGCCATTAGGTATAGGCGTTAGTATTCGCTTCGTGGTTGCATGGGGCGTTTTGTGCTACATTTTATTTCGTTGTTATGCGTTCAAAGTACAAGTGATTTTTAGGTTTAAGCGTTTTCTCGAAATTTCTCCACAATGCTAAGCACGATTGAGGCAAATTAAATTTGCATAATCGCTAGTTTTAAGCAAGATATTTGTTTTCTTTTTTTAGTTAATTTTCACATTTTACTTCTATTTTGTACATATTTATTTTGTCTATTTCTGCTATTTTCTTACTTATAAATTCTTGAAACTTCGTTAAGATCATCAAATTCTGTATGCATACAAGCGCTTTGGCATTACTTCAAGCCTTACTTAATCACGAAGCACTTTCTGCGTTGATTGCGTGGTAAGTGGTTTGCCTAATTAGCATTTCGTAATGGAGAAACTAGAAATATTACCACAGTAGCACATTACCGAGAAGGGTCAGTGTACTGCGCTGCTATCCAGCTGGTTGCAATACTTAAGTAAATTGTTTATAAACATGCTATAGTATAAATTATAGAAACCAAAAAGTATTTGGCAAATTTGGTATAATTATTGGAATTTCTTTATAAAGAAAAAATTATTCAAAATTAGCAGAGACTGAAATCATAGCAACTATGTATGAATCGGATAGTAAGAATCTTCAGTGAAAACATTTGCTAAAATAAGGATCTTTTGCCTCTTCAAAGTATCTAAGAGAGGCTAAAAAGCAAAAGTCACAGGCCTTTTTTTAGCATCTAAAACCTCCAGACCAAATTAACAACATAGAAAAGAGAACCCAAGTCTTAAGAGCTAATGTATGTCTTATGTTGAGAAACTGCTACTGTCTCATACAGCAAATAAGGTTTATAATGCCATATTCGAAGAGGTAACGCTGTGGACAAAATTCCTAGAATTTCTGAAATGGAGTTTGGATTGGGGGTTGATTTTTCATAATATGGAGTAAAGATCTTTTCATAGTTTTGCTTCTGAGTATGCCTTAACTAATTCTTGAAGTCTTGGGTCAGGTAGTATTTTCGGAGCATCTGTTAACCAGAGGAGCGGCGAAGTTAGCTTAGTTGAAGCAAGCGGTTCTCTACATAAATCTTAACCTTTTCGCGTGGCGATATTGTGTGCTGAGTTTTTGGTTCGGCATGTACAAAACAATTTCAGCCCATCTTTGAGGATGACCAGTGCAAACGTATGCATCTGGAATGCCCGATCGATAATGGGATGGAATGCTTCTCAGCCGGCCGGCATTGCAATCAAGCAAGAATTGGTTCTTGTTGTAACCGAGAAAGTCTTCTGCCGAGTCCTGGCGCTTACGACCGTGATGGGTCTATTACTAAACTCTATCAATTGGCCGAACATATCATGCGAATCTTATAGAAAAATCCTTCGCGCTTCTGGTCGACCTTTTAGTGCTGCTTAACATCAGTTCACAAGCCGTAGAAGTTTTTGCGGGGATACCAAATTCTGACACAGAATCAGCTCCTTTTCATGCTATTTAATGTTTAAGTTTTAAAACCGGTGTAGGGGCGATGTGTGTTGATTTTCTTTATAGCGGATTTTCCAAAATTTGGCACTATTGAAGATGGGCTTTGGTATTGCGTACGATACTCTCGATAGTACTTTAAATGCGGCTTTGAGGGTGCTTATCTTACGGTTATTGGCGCAGACTGAGGGATTCTCCACTTTATGGGTTGAGATGAGCACCTTAGGTTCTGAAAAGTAGGTGACATATGCACCTTGTAAGCCCTTCGGCACCCCAATGAATAACTCTGCCGGCAATCCATCGCTCTCCGCCGCTTTGTCATCTATTTGAACGCCATCGTTTGGGAAATCCATCTCCGGTTGCTCAATTTTGAGTGCCGTTCAGCAGGCTGGAGAAGTCTTCAGTATACCCTGGTCATCAGTCGCTTAATCACATCTTTGGTTCATTAAAAAGTAGACTCCGGTCTTGAAATCTTCCGTAAGTACCTTATCGATGGGTGCTCCGAATAAAAGAGATATCAAACTTATATCTGTGAAGCATGAAAATTTCGCTCATATTTTATAAATTTTTACTACCGATTAGTTTTTCAAGAGTGCGTATTATTCAGTATTATTAAACTGATGAGGAAACTAAAAATAAAATAAAATTCAAGTCCAAACCAAGCATTTAAATTAACCTCTAAATTAATGGCTTTTGGTAACAGAAGGTGAAGGTGAATGAAGGTGAAGTTCTGTTTTAACAGTAAAACATACATTTTCGTTATATGAAGAATAACAGTAAAAGAGAGAAGACAAAGTAAATACGCTGTAAGGAAAAATTAAGTGAAACACGCACCATAAATACATGTAGCAATATATGTGTATGTGTGTATATATTTACATATATGTATATCTGTATGTTACCACATAGGCATATATATTGATATATTTGTTTACACTTCAATATACCCAGCCAGCTGGGAGGATGAATATTTAAAATTATTATAGGCCATTCTATATACACACATTCACACACACACACACGCAACATAGAGCCCATATAATAAGTGTTGTTATTCGGTTATTTGTGTATGCATTTAGTTTCATTTAGAGGGGTAAACCACGTGTTTGTTTGTTTGCTTGTTTGTTAAGACTGGAGGAATGTGAAATGACAGCCGAACACTTAGCCTACATTAATAGTCTTCCTCATGCAATGCGAGCTGATTTCAAGCAAATCTACATAAACACATACTTATTTAAGTATGTTGTAATTCATATGCGTATGTATCGAA